CCACTTCTTCTCTTTTCAAAGAGCTCTATATTTGGCAGACAGTCGTTAGTTTGCCTGTTTCTGCCGTTTTTATATACCTTGTTCTCATTGGAGAACCTGACATTACTTTCTTGAATTGACCAAGACTTACATGGTAGGTGTCGTCGATCAAACAGAAAACGATTACTCGTTGTTCTTGTCCAGCAGTTTCCGTGTAAATCTTTTCTTTGTTCATATTTTGCCAAAGTTTATTGAATCTGAGTTTGGATTATGATTGTGTTGACATGTTGGTATTTTCTTGTTGCTTTTTCCATGTATAACATACCGATTATTTAACATGATTAGACACAATAAGGGGATATAAGACGCAAATTAACGGTTACGGGACTTTGCAGAAATCTAGGAATAAATTAACGTGTCGTCATGCAAACAAATACAGTGCCTAGATAAGATCGACGGGGAACAAAGCCATATATGTGTATTATATGGTGAACATTAACGTTCTTTAGTGTTTGCTATGTTTGTGCAAGACTGCGGCCGAAACTGCCATTGTGTTCAGTTAGTCACAGAATATACAAAGAGACAAAACCTATATGTCTACTTTAAAGTTGTAAACCAGATATCAATTTTGGTCTGTCCTAGTTTATTAGCTGTAGTGGCAAGAGCTCCCTAAAGGTCTCTTGTCCTTTATTTGATTACAGTCAAATTGACATGTCGCGAGAAAACCAATAACTTTCCGGGGATATTCTGTCGAGTGTCAATCAGAGGGAGTATTCCGCCTTCACAGAGTCTATGCTCATTACAGAGAAAAACCGTCCCTAACTCTACAGCGGTTGACCGGCCAAACAGAAATGGATGTATGCTGTTCTCTGAAACGGAGACTGGCTGTCAATATCAGTGTCAGATCCACAAATGGATTCCTGGGGGTTTCAGGTGGGTGCGGTAGTTCCAAATTTGTTCGGAGCCACAACAAATGCTTGCTATTGAAGCAATAAAGTGAAAGCACACGAGAGGATACGAACAAGAGACGTTGTCGCTAATCGATAAATCACAGTGTGGTATAGTGCCATTGAAAAACAAATACTGATAATTAAACGGAATATTAATTCAAACACAAAATCAATTAAACTAGGGACAAATACGAACAAAGGAAACAAATTGTGGAAATTCATGAAAAATTACAGGGATGATGTGACTAGGTGCTCTGTAAGAGAAAGCGGCTTCTTCTTAGCCGACGACACATGCCATTTAAATCTTGGTCAATCCAAGTTAGTCATGTCACGTTCCAAATAAAAAAAAAATAAACATCAACGGAGCCAGCAAGCAAACTTATTAACATCAAACATGTCCAACTTAATATTGCACAAAGATATAGGATATTTCTTGTTGAGAAATGACGACCGTAAACTTTTCTATAATCTTCATTAATTGTTCATCATTGTTTTTAAATGCTGATCTCAGGAGGAGGCAAAGAAGTAAAAATTGGTCAGATCATTGACTAAGATCTTAGTCTATATTCAACATCTATTTCAGTAAGTAATATAACCATTCATATTTTGATATTGTAACATATAACTCTGAAAGGCCAATCCTCCTAGTTAATAACGTGCATGAATGCTTAATCCATGTTTGCCAGAACAATTATTCGTTTGCTAGGTTTATCAGGATCATTTCGAAGCATGGTTTGTCTGTAGTCGCTGCTGAATAGCTCAATGAACAACATACACGAGGCCCGTCACGGGTAGGGATCGTCGTCGAACCATGCATCTCTGATCTTCATCTGAGGTCACGTAGACCAACCCTCTGACCGACTGAGCTACCATGGCTCCGCAAAACAGTCATTAAAAGCGGTAGTAGATTAACTTCATGAAATTGCATCTACAGAAAATCATTACAACCATAGTGCATGTTTCCAACTTGATCGGTTCAAAAAGACACACAAGGGAAAAACACATTGTAATACCAATTTATAGTTATAGTAGAAACAAATAACGAATCTAACTACATTATACAGTTGTTTCGTCCTTCTAGATATCGTGCGTGATGCCACGAGCCTTAATTTTTTAAACATAGGAGGCAACTGAGGAAAACCAGATTGGGAGGTACTTTTACCCTAAGATTCAATGTGTTTAAACTTTCAATATTAGATTACTTCTTTAAGTACATCAGTATAATCTAAATTCGAATTTATTAAAAAGTGACCTACCGGTTACGACAAATATCGCAGACTAAAAGTCCAACAGTGTGTACCAACGGTTATCACAAAGATCGTACAGACAAATTTCAAATATGGTGAGATCTCGTATTTCTTACATATACATGTAGAACAAAATGATGTTTGTATTTTAAAACTAGTAATTAAATAATTTAAATGACGACAATAAATAGCTTGTCATGATTTAATTTAATATCATGATGTAGAGAACACATTTTCAGCAGCTCTCCGACAAGTGTCGGGGATGGGAACAGACAATACTTTTTCATGATATCTTGTGGAATCTTTTCGGCAACAAAAATTTAGAATTCATGTACTTTTGATATTATTATATTAATCAGTTTGTGTGTCAGTCTATAACTGTACAATTTCAGATTGAATAACGTTTCTTCAATATTCCCTCTCACTGTCAACATTTATGTCCTATAGCATGACAGAAAAGTTCTAGAACGTTTAGTTGAAATCATATTGCATAACATTTTATTATTAAATTCATATGCAAAGGTGTCATTCACAAGAACGTTTTATGTGCAATAAATTTCCAGAACGAGCCTACATAAAATTTTTACACCAACTATTAATAGGTACTTACTATTTCAATGGTGTTTAATGGTGAATGAACTGTCAGGAATCTTATGCTTCATGTTGTAAAATGAGCCGCATTTGCCACCATTGACAAGATATGAAGATCTTCAGCACAATAAATTTACTATGGAGCTATACCTCTTGTCAAATAAATCGTTTCCTATTCATAAGAACGGCCAAGTTTTTCCTGCATTTCAACATTCGTGAGGCTGTCTCCGTCGTTTTCATCATCGAAGACAAGAATATCAGTGAAGCAGATGAATGTTCCCCAAAAACAGAATATTGGACACAATATTTTAACAAAAAGGGCAATAATTATTTTCATAAAGGGTTACAGGCCCTGGATTTGGTACACTGGTGTCATCTTAGCATGATCATTGTATACACCAGGTTTCATTATCCTAGTTTAAATGCAAGCAAAGTTATGCTCTGGACCCTGACTTTGGTACACTGCACATCGGCTTAACATACCTAATTCATACACAAACTTTCATGATCCTCTCTTAATTGTGGACAACGTTATGCTCAGGACACGAAAGGAAGGACGGACAAGGCGGCGACCATATGTTCTCCCGAAAATACCGTAATGGTTAAAAACAAAACCGTAATAGAAGCTCAAAGTGTATAGAACGAGTGTGAAATATAAACCGAACAAAAGGTTTACACGACACCCACTGAGTAAGTACAAAGAGAGCAAAACAATGTGCACTGGAAGCGAAAGCGTCCACTGCTTTGAATTTTCTATTCGGTTCAGGAGTTAGTTAACTAAGTATCATTTGGATCATTTATTCAGCAAACAGAAGCAAAGTATTCAAAGCTAGCTAGAGAAACTCATCTTGGATATGCCAACCAAGTGCTTTATTTCTTTTAAATATGAATGTGGACGGAATTTTACAATACAAGAAAGAGCCATGTTGATATTTATCACATAATTGGCCTGTTGTTGCATATTGTCACTGTATTTGCAATATGCTGAAGGGCGTTTTTTATTGGCTACGCCTGTCATAAATCGATTGTGATAACACAATATGGACAATGGTGTGCGTCATGAATTGGAAATGCCGAAACCAAGTTGATGCTTCCGTTTAATTTTGTCTTCCACATAAGGACTCTAAAACTGTCAAAAGGTAAAATCAAGGGAAACTCAAACGATACTTTTGTTGTCTTTTTGTCACCTTTTGACAGGTAAACAGTAAACAAAATGTTGTAGTGACATATACATATAAAAATCTGGAATAGTTTTATCATTGAGAAATTTCTTTTTCCTTTCGCGATACACGGAGTCTTTGAAGCTCGATAGTATACTTGCTGGTTCCATGTTGTTTACTGTATTCTCATTTGGGAACGTGACATAACTACATGGATTTTACTCTCTCACTTAAATCGTTAGATATTATTGCCATTCTGAATACTGTAAATGTTGTTTCTGCAAAGAGATACGAATTCATCAAGTCGTTTGAAATATGGATTCCATCTTACAATGAAACGTTTGTCATAGCCGTAGGACGATAAGATGGAAGTTATATAACTGTTTCTGACCAATGATATATACACATTGTCGATAACGCACGTGAGCGTTAGGAACGTGGATTACAGACGACGAAGAAAGTCAAGAAATATTAAGATTAACGCCTTTACATGAAACACCTGCTTGGCATCCTGTTTCGGTAAGATTGCAGTTACAGTCTGTGTCACAATATCAGCATTCTCCATAAAACGAAATGTCACCTATATGATGTAAACATAGCAATTAGCAAGTGACTGTTAAAGACATTGAACTTGCTACTGATATCCGTTTCTTAAGACTGGTTGTGAATTGAAATCAGAACAAGTGACCAGTTCATTAATTTCCCCTCCGCTTGATCATATATACTGTAAACTCTTATTTTCTTGAGACTCAAATTCTGTGGTATTTTGTATAAATGAAAATAGCAGTTCTCATTTGCTACCGTCGATGACAAGAACATGAATCTGTTGACATTTTCATTTATAGTTAATGTCCAATTTCAGATGAAATAATGTATAAAAAACATCCAGGAAATCAACTTGGAAAACTTTAGAGGTGTTGGAATGCTATTCCCACTTTCTTCATTTCTTTGGAAGACATTAAAATTATGCCTGGTCTATGAGAAGAAAGAAAACTTCCGGATTGGTGAGTTGTAAAAATCGAGAATAAATAAACATTTGAATAAGCATTGCACAAAAACAGGAACAAAACACAAACTTTATAAAATAAAATTTATTTCATATATACCAGAGATTATCAGCCATTCAACCTGCTGACGGTAGTGTAAGTTTGTCTTGTTAGAATTACATGGCTTTTCTTTGTCTGCATTGTGTACAAGTAATTGACCAAATGACTGGTTGCGTTAGTCAACAATTAACATCAGTATCGATGTATCGGCACAAATCACTAAAACTATTTGACTTACAAAAAAAAAAAAAAAAAAAAAGTTGTTAACATTTAGAATTTTAACAAAAGTACAAAAGAAAATGTTATTTTCTTATCTGGAGTGTTGAGTGACGAAGAACATTACCAAAACAAAATTCACCAGTGACATGATTACCGAGATTATACTTAACTTCTCTTTTTAATTATCGAACAAATTTCACCAACAAAAACGAGCAAAAATGGCCATATATGTACCGAGAATTGTTGATTACTTCTCTTGTCTATCATCAACAAACATTACAAAAACATTAATTAAAAAAACACCTATAATCAGAGAATACTTATTAGTTCTGTGAACTATCGCCGCAAAAAGATCAAGAACGTGTATTGAGGAAAGTTCATTATTTCTCTTGTCTAGTACTGAAAAACATTACCAACAGAAGACATAAAGTATGTATGGAGAACATTGAAGTTCTTTTGTCTAGAACAGACAATCATCACCAACATAAGATCAAGAAATACAAAACATGTATTGAGAATAGTTAATCAGTTCTCTTGTCTATTACCGACTAATACCATCAAACAAACGATGAAAAAAATAAGCATTTAGAGGAGTTATTTCCCTTGTTTACACAACTAACACTTCACCAATAAAGAAATAGAAGAGCATGACAGCAATTTCTCCTGTTTAGTAAATGTGCCCACAAAATTATATATTATTGACAAGGATTTACTCACAAAATTTCCAATATATTGGGGCAGAATATTCAAAATGGGTTAACATCACATACCGACCAAGCACGTTGGAAGATTAAATTTCAACAAATTTATCATGAAAACTTTTGAATTCTTTTCCATAAACAAAGAAGTAGCACTAATTTTACCAAATCAACAAAATATTGTGGTAATAATTGAGCTGCAAAATAGCTTTCTTTGGATTGGCAGGCCTTGGAATTGCAACACCCCCACCCTACTTTTTCTTTATTATTTCAACAATTACTTTGGAAGTTGAGAAGGTCATAAGAAGTCCAGTATGAGCTGTCAATATTGCCCTCCTGATCTATGTTAGAATCACTAGTTTGGGCAAAATAGTTTCACAGGAAAACAAATGTCAGTTATAAATGGATGAAATAATCATAATAACGATAAACAATAATTATATTAGCTGCTTTAAAAGAAATGAACATTGAAGGGTCTTTGTTTAAGGAATAAAACAATAATTCAATAAAAACAAGAATCAAGTATTGTGACTCAGACCACCAGTGTGTGTAAATCCATATCTTTATAAGGGAAGATTACCTAGAGATTCAATGAACACGTTAAACAAGAAATCTACACAAGTATCAATTATTTCACATATGATTGTGATTTCAGGGCGAATCAATTAAACTTGAAAACGGTTTTGGTTTATAATTTTCGGAAATTCTAATCTGTTCACTTTTTCTTTTTGTCTTTACAGATCTTCTATACATGGTGTGCCAGTGTTATACAACTTGGAAAGATGTCAGCAGGGCTAACCAGATACTGGTTAGTATCCAAACATAAACACTATAGTAACAAGATTGTACATCAGTTTAAAAAGTCATGTTGACGTCATGTTCACAATTATCAATAAGACAACTGTTTACTTCCATGTGAATACTCAACTGCACCGCTAAAAATCATCAATAATAATTTTTGAACCCATTCTGTTAATTTTGTCAACATTTAGAGTCCAAAAGTGAAAATATTTGAAATTGACCTATAAATATATTGTTGATGTAGTTAGTCAATTTAAACATGCAAAATATGTGCGTCTTACATACAAAACTTTGATACCATGCAATATAACAATATCAAATTTACATTCAAATTCTACATTAAATTTTTCTATGGTCTTCCTAATAAACCAAAATATGAATTCTAAGTGTAGGTTTCCTCAAGTTCATACGTTGAAACAACTGTGCAACATACACTATGAATTATTTAATCAGAATATACACATTAGTTTAAGACACAATCAACATTGCTTACCCTGGACGATATATATATATATAATGTTGATGTTCATTAGTCTTTCGAAGATTGATCTGGTTTGAAATGTTATCAAGCTATAAAATATTATCTAAACAAATATTACAGACGACTATATGTATATAAAACGATAATGAAACATTTTTCTTTTCAGACCTTGGTTGTTATCATTGTAATATATCAAATAAAACACATGATACCTATCAAATTTGAACTCTGGTTTTATAATGCAATAATTCCATTGCTTTCAATAGATTCTCTACCATTCTTCTGCCAATGGTGAAAAAGCCAAGGTTTCATTAATATTTCTGAACAATAGAATTGTTTGATAAAAACACTGATTTTTTGAAAAGTAATGAAAAATTGGTAAATAAAAGTGAAATAGACATCCTAATTGGAAATCAATGATACAAATCCTTGACAACTGATATGAGGAAAAAGTGTCTGACCTCAGTAGTAATAGTCCTGGTGTTTAATGACCAAGTGATATACAAAACAGGTCAGTTTTGTACGTATATGTAAATGATATTACAACGCCATTCTGATCAGTGGTCACTTCTGGACTGACCCAGGTATATCTATATATAGTCACCACAAATCAACCCATAGATGGTGCACATAACCATGATATAAATATATTACCAGAAACGTATGTACATATGTTACACAGAAACTTACATCAAGAAATATCCTTTAATTCAAGCGTCCCTTTAAACGCAGATTTACAAAATGTTCAACATACATATGCAGCATAATAATCACAACATTTTTACTGGCTTCGCTTAAATTAATAACGACTACCAAAAACATGGTCATCACATTTTGTAGTTTTGAAATATCTGTCCTCCTTTATGTTTTTTTTTTTTTTTACTTCTTTGATGACAACATAAATTTGATTGGTTACTTTCCTTCAATGCACCTACACTGGTGAAAAATCAGCATGATTGAATAACAGTATACTGTTGCCAGGCTTTCAGTCGTGCCAACACGTACTACCGGCGTAAAATTGGCTACCTGTTACTATTCATAGCAAAAGTGATTAAACCATCGCATGATGAAAACTGATATCCATATCCGCACAAACTCTTTATCATAAATCCTTTTACACAAAAGTCTCCTAGAAATGCGTAGGTGGAAAGTACTGGTTCACATGGAACAGATACATGCAATAGTCACATGCAATATTCTGGTACTTACAAAACATTGCTTTGTGATAAAGTTTTTTTGTACTATCGCCTACATTGGTTCATGTTATATCAGATATGCCAGGGCACTGCATAAAAAGTGTGTTTTCATCCATATCTGTTTGCTACATGACTAGCACTGATTCAAAATTATTTAAAACTCGATAGTTTATATGTAACTTCCGCTATTTCTAAAACGTTCTAAGTTACAGTGTACACATAACAGTGCTCAGTCACAACAAACAGGGCAGCAAAATATGTAACTTTCTTTCGGGTCCCATCATCCAAGTTTTCTTCCCTTTGAGCATGTGTATTTGACTTGTTGGTTAGCAACAATTTAATATCCATTGTAAGTTCACTAAACATGAGTTTGGTGCTGTGACCAGTAGCCATTAAACTCCAACGATATTGGTGCCGTGACCAGGAACTGATCAAGACCTCTTTAACTCTACTATGCAAAATAGTCTAAAACAACTGTTAATAGTCTTAACACAATCATCTTCCAACTGCCCATAACATCAAGCAGATCTTATCCAGAGGCCTGATTTGTGGAAGATATCTAACTCTTTTGAAGAATCTCAGTTTATTTAGTAAATTTAATTTGAAAATGAACACTGTTTACAACCGCATTTGCGAATGATTTGAATTTTGTACATATAGCTGGTTCCATCTTGACAGTATAATCGGATTTTTCTATTTTTAATTTTCTTTGGATTACAGCAACCGTTTCCACATGATCCTGTACACTGGCGGAACTTTATTCGTGAACGTGATTTACAGTTTGTCTTTGGATGTGTGTAGTGACTTCTGAAAACTTTAGGACGACAGGAAGGCTCTGGAATTGAAAAGAAAACAAAATTAATGACACAACCAAACCTGTTTTAACAGACAATACACTATTAAATAAATACATACTAAACTGGTTACCAAAACTTTCTAAATTCTTACATTTAGGCAAAAAAATGTTTATATCAATTTAGCACTTTAACTACAATCTTTTTAAGATACCAAAATATTAAAAATGCAAAAATGTAAGGTTTGACAGATATTGAAACATGGAGGCAATATTTTCAGATTTCTTGATGTAAACTTACCAACATCACAGAAGCGACCCGAGTATCCATGGGTACATTTGCACCTGTATCCCTGGCGTTTCTTACGGGGTTTACAGCGACCTTTCTGACACCGGTTATTGAGACAGGGATCTACTTTACAGCCGGGCATTATCTTGCGGTTTAATTTTGATGACATGAAGTCCATCAATTTGTTGTTGACGTACACAGACTGGTAACAACCTGGCAGAGGAATGAAATAGTATATTTATCAAAAATCAAAAACTTGGTTCTTCATAATAAAACTTGAAAAAAGAGAGAATTGAATTTATTTTTTTTAAATGCCTCTACTAGGGGTCAAACACCTAAGGTAAACCATTCCAAAAATTGAGCTGAAGAAAAATTCTAACAAACTGAGTAGAAAGAGGGGAGGATAATTATATATAAAAGCTTCTATCATCAGATATTAGTAAGAAGCAACTTAAAAACATCGAAAAAGTTTCCATCAAGATAATGACCATAGTTAAACTGTTTCAGACTGCAGGTGATGATTCAGGAATATTCAACTCACTTGATCACTGCTTATTAATAAAAGTTCATTTGAATTACCTCTAAAACTGGATTCACTCCTAATATGAAATTTACTTCGTGCTCTAGCACTGACATCTGACGGTAGGCCCCCAAAGTAGACATCGTCATTTATATCCAAGAAATCCCTGTTGCCTTGGTTGACGACAGATCGTGACACTCCACCGTCCACTCTCATTGTAAAGTTACGTCGGTTTAGCATCAACTCTATGTAGTGAATTCTATCATCATTAACTTCCACATAACTAAAGATGTAACTAAACATGGTAGATGTTGGTGTGTTTCCTACATAGAAGCTGATACCCACTCGACCACGGAACAGCTCCACTGCTAAATGTTGTTCTTGTCCAGTGTAGAAGATAAGACCTGAATCAGACTCCGTTTTCATTACAATTGTGATATTGACCCATGACTCAAAGTCTAACTTGGGCCACTGGATGTAAGAGTCAGTGTCTAGGAAAGAAACACTTGTCAACTTCTCGCACATCTTCCCTGAGAATCCTGAAACCATAGGAACATCATGCTTTTTCTCAAATCTTGTATAATTCTATTAAGAAACATCTGTAAAGAATTGGTGACCCTTTGACAGTGGAAGATAACAATGGCAATTTTCAGAATCTTATAATGTTACACCCATCTCTTCATAAACTGATTTCCATTATTGAATTATTGTGTTGATGAGGTTGCATTGTTTATATTGACCACTTGTCATTATTTTGCAAGTTTTACAATTTATACAATTACATCAATGCATTAACTTTCTCTTAATATACATGTTAATTCACATCATAAACTTCAGAAACCTTAACCTTGACCTTAAAAACAGACGGTAAACCCCAGCTTTATTGATTTAAGGTTCTGAAGACTGATATCAAACCAAAGGAATTAGTACCTAATACCCTTGTCAAGACAAATTTCAGTGAAGCCCTTCATAGAACAATTGATCTTGATTCATTTATTGCAGGATGCCTGTCATGTCAAATTCAAGGCTCAAAACAGGATTATTCAAAAAGACACAACACCAACAAAATGATGAACTTTCCTATCGTATTCTAAGCCCTGAGTTCGGTGTAGATTCTGACATTCAATGTAGAAAACCCATTTTACCTGGTGCACATTGACACATGTAGTCCTGGGATCCCTTGGGTTTGTAGCAAACTCCATTGTTCTGACACTCATGGTTACGACAGGCTCCAGGGGTGGAGTAATCATTGCTGTAATACATGTTGATGGGTGGAATCTCGCAGTACTTGCCAGTGTAGCCACGGAGACAGGTACAGGTGTACTTGCCCAACAGATCCACACACTGTGCCCCGTTTTGACAGATATGTGATTGACAGTCATCAATGTCTTCTGTACAGTTCTTTCCCGTATAGCCAGCTGTACATTCACATCTTAAATTGACATCAAAACAAATATTTATATTTTTTCACATCCATTGACAATAAAGGTGATATAGGATCAAACAACAATACCAGCAAACAGAAAAAAATTAAAACGAATAGCTTCTTCGTCACATTCTTAAAGACTAGTCAAATATGCTATACTTGAATTTAAAAAGTGAAACAAGTTTGGATTATTAGATCACAGTCAGGGATCATTATTTCAGAAACCTACTTGGAAATTCCATGTAAAAACCTGGGATCAAAGGTAAATTTTAGACCCTTCTGGAATACAAATTACTGAGAAAATCTCCTCACCTGTAATCAGAGTCTAGTGGAACACACATGGCTCCATTCTGACAGTAGTTTTCTTCACCAGTACAGTACTGTATCTTGTTCTCACAAGCCTTGCCTATAAAAAGTAACAACAGTGTCATGAATTCAATACATCAAACATCATAAAAGTCCTAATACCAATTAAGTATTCAACTTAATTCACAATATTTACATAGTGCTATAAACACCATTAACCAATGATATCAGAGGCCAAGGTTGATAGGTCAAGGATGCAAAAACACCTTAGAAAAGTGATGGAGCAGGCTTATTGCTGCACCACATAAATGTTTGTTACAGTAATACATGTGGATGGGCTTATTTCTAAATTTGGGCTTATTGTCTAAAAGACATGGTGATGAGCAAGCCCAATTGAACAATTGCCAGAATGAAAGATTAGAAAGTAGCAAAATCACAGAAAATCCAAAGGGACAGAACTCTGTAATTACCTTTGTAGCCCATTGAACATTGACAGGAGAAACCTTGGACAAGGTCAACACAGGTGGCGCCATTTAGACAGGAGTTGGCCTCACAGTCATTAATGTTGATGGAGCATCGCTCACCTTCAAAACCTGGCCGACACCGGCAGCTGAAATTAGAGGTGCTACAATAAAATTGGTATTCGGTTAATAAATGGTTAGACAAACACATGTTAATATTGTTACAACAGGCCTACTGATCTTTATAAGGTGGACAGCGCTGTCTGCGAGTCGGACAGTCTCTCCTCAAAACGAAGAAAGAAAAAAGAAAAGAAACAAAAAAAAATGAAAAAAACACCTTGTTATACACAAAATACAAGCAAGCAAGAAAGATGTGCAAAGAAAGAAATTATTATTAACAGCAAGCTTTACAAATTAAGATAAACATTATCAATTCTAAAGTATACATAAATCATTAAATGAAAAACAAATCAAAATTAAATTCAAAATAAGACAAAACGAGATATTTATCAAATACAAAGCAAGTTACTGAAACTTTGAAACATCAGTTTTACAAGAACTACTTCTCTGTATATTATTTTGTATAAGAAATATAATATGCATTAGGCATAAACACAACAGTTCGTTAAAATGTTAATAATAGTTTTATCAATGTCAAAAGATATTCTGTACAAAAGTTACAGTAATGAGACAAAAGCTAACACTCACTTGAACCTTCCATGGTTGAGGACCTCACAGTGACCATCATTCATACAAGGATTGCCAAAACAGGCATTGATTTCATTTTCGCATCTTTGCCCATGGTAACCAGGTGTGCAGTCGCAGGTGAAGTTTTTGAAGTCTCTGATTCTACAAATTCCATTGTGTAGACAGGGATTCTGGTGACAAGCATTACACTTTGCAGCGACTGCCACACTATCTGGATCTATTAGAAGGGAGAAAAAGTTGAGAATGACCATCTATTATAAAAGATAATATTTTACTTGAAATGGTGTAAATAATTCATTTTTTTGTGAGGGATGTTCCAATGAATTTAAGTGTACACTTCATCTACAAATTCTTTTATACATAAAATGCTAATGTAAGAACAAATTGATTTATTGAGTTAAATCAAGTGTCCACAAAAAATGTAATTTCATTAAAATCTACTAAAGGTGGTTTCTACAAACATATAAGATTTTGTAGTTTGGTTTAATGTTGCAGCACAGCCTATTAATAGACATTTATTGAAGGATATGACAGGTTTGGATGGTGGAGGAAAGCCAGAATTCTCATAAAAAAAAGACATTGACCTGCGAACTATATCTGGTGACTGTCACGTAGGCCTTGAACCCGCCACCCCGAGGTGGAGAGCCAGTGATAAAGATGGTTAGACATCTGAACAAATTTTACACAAACTGTGAAAAACGGATGCCACAGTTGGAACGGCATTCAATATGGGTGGGCTTCTAACCAGACAAGAGATTATTGCCATTTGGTTAAGTATGGTACCTGCAGTCTGACTACACTGGAAGGAGGACGGAGGTGTGGTCAGTATGAGCTTGTTAACCATGGATGCAGGTCCAGCACAGCCAGCAATCCCAGGCTCCATGAAATCATTCTTTATATAGTCTACAAGCCATTTCAGGTTACAATCACAGTACAACGGATTCATGCCAAGGGCCCTGAAACAGAACATATATGTTGCAGTGAATCTAGAATTATATACAGTAGACAAAATATTAAATGAACTGCACCATACAGCTGTCCTTCTAGGACTTGTCAGTGATGCTAAGGGCCTAAATCTATCATTTTAGAATATTTCTAATTTTATATCATCAGGGGCATTAAAAAGTATAAAGTAGAATTAGTAAAGGAACTTCAAGACATGCCCTGCAAGAAAACACGGTGAGGTCATGAAAAGTACAAAGAACAATACACAATTAAGTTTCTCATCAAAAGCCATGAAAATAGTGCATGTTATAATTACTACAGTTTTTCTAGGCCCCTTAAATCTAGCATACTTGATATAAATATTTTTCATCAAGAGCCCAGAAACAATACAGGGTATAATTACTACAACAGTACAATGTATGAGAAGTCTTTGATTATAAAAATGCTTTCTTAAATATGGCCCTAAAAAACCACATACAGTATAGTAATATGGACTAGTACAATTAACAAAGGACTGATATTTCATAACCAACATGGAATCAACACAGCAGGTGCAACCTTAACTAAAACTGACAAATCAGACAGTTATTTTCACTTTCACAATTATATTAGGAAGGGCTTGATGTTTTTTTTTTCTATTTTAATATAAAATTGATTTCTCCATATAGTGCTGAAGTTCAAAAACAGAACAATAAAAGCTGCATGAGGTTTAGTGTTAAATGGTGGAGTATGGCTAACTGTCAGCATCCACCATTTTATATTAGACATTTTAAGTTCAAAAGCTTTAACTTTAAAAGCATGTATAATCTTCCAGAATCTTCCCAAACCAAATGGTATAACCAGACTTTCCAGCCTGCAGTCATGAAAAACTGTGAAACTACAAATGTTGTTTTTCAAGAGGATTTTTTTTCTGAAGGAGAACAGAATAGATTATTGATAAATAGATACAAAATTAATGTAGAAAAACAGTCCATTTCATAAAATCAATGAAAAATATGTCATTTTGGAATCAAGCTTTTGGTAAAACCATCAAAAATTCACCAAAATATTTGAACGACAATAACAAGAATCAGTAAAACTGATGAATGCTCCCTGAAAATGATTTTACTGTCACAAAATTTTACCAAAATGCAATAATCATGTAATTAAGGGGTTGCAGACCTTGAATTTGGTATTCAACACATTCTCTTAATATGACCAATGTATACACCAAGTTTCATGATCCTAGTTTTAATGACAGCAAAGCTATGCTCATGACAAAAAATGTTAACAAAGGGCAATAACTCTGCACTACAAGGTAATGGACTCTGACTTTGCTGCACTGCACCTTGCTTCTATATGACTGATGTATACATCACCTTTCAATATCCTAGTTTAAATGTAGGCAAAGCAATGCTCCAGACACAAAATCCTAGTAAAGGGCAATATCTCTGTAATCGTGGGGTTGGGGGACCTAACATTAGTACATTAAATCTTTTCTTTGTATGATCAATGCATACGCCAGGTTTCATTATCCTGCCTTAAATGCAAGCTAAGTAATGCTTTGGACAAGATATTTTTTACAAAAGGCAATAACTCTGCAATTGTGGCGTCGATGGCCTTGAACTTGGTTAACAGCCTATTTTCTTTGTCTGATCAATGCATTCACCACCTTTCATTATTCTAGTTGAAATGCAAGCAATCTAAATTTTGTTCTAGACACAAACATTTTTCAAAGAGCAATAATTAAAAGATAAAGGTGTTGCTTGCCCTGAAATTTGATACACTGCTCGTCGTCTTTCTATGATCAATGTACACAAGTTTTGTTATCAAAGTGTGTATGCTACTGATACAAAACTTTAAGGAAGGGCAGTAACTCTGTAATTAAGGAGTCAAGGGCCCTGAATTTGATACACTGCGCACCCCCTTAGTATGACCAATGTATACACAATATTTCATGATCCTTGCTTAACAGTGAGCAAAGTTATGGTATGGATACAAAAGATTGGACGGAGCATAGATACAACTTCTACAGTATTATGTTAGTGCAGTATTGACTATTGTTGAGTAAACTGCAGCATTCAAATCTCGAACTTGTTTTTTTAATGTTGGGAACAGAAATTTGGACACAGTAACATGTAAAATTAAATAACTTGAATAAACTTGTTGGATTTGGTGACAATGCAATCTTTAATAGTCATATACATTACTGGATTAAGAAAGTGCACTATAAATATATTTCATGACTTAATAGATAAAAAAAGGACTTGTGCATAAGACTGAAAGATCAGCAGAGGAATTGCCATCATGCAATTTGAATGTATTGCACTGCATAACAGCATGAATGCGTTCAAGAATTAATGAAAAACAATATGAAGGCATAACTAAATACTTACAGATGTGTGAGGGAATCAAGGTCATTGAAGGAGCTGTATGGAATTGTAGAAAGTTGGTTTCCATGAAGAGACCTAAACCAGGAAAGAAAAAGGTATGTTAACATTAAAGAGAATGCTGTATTTATTTTTAAATAAACTTATAGGCCTAAATTACTCTTGATTAGGAAATAAGCTTATTCCAGGACAATGAAATAGTATATATGATAATTCTTCAAAAAACTTATATATATACTGGGCAAAGACTTTGGATAAACAAGGTATGGTATTTGATTGAACGTCTTTTTCTTTAAATGTGACTATCAAGGAAGAGTTATGACATCTGGTTTACCAAGTAGAATTAAAATCCCAGTCAGACAAACAATATCAATTTGTCAAAAAGCATGGGAATGCTGAATAGAAAAATACTTACAATATTCTGAGTCTCCGAAGCCCTGAAAAGCTGGAGGCAGCCATACATTCCAGCTTGTTGAAGCTCAAAATTCTGAAATTTCAAGTAACAAGGAATCATCATATAAATTCAAACATTTTCTTACTTAATTTGTCTTTTTTTTATTCAGATCAGCCCAGTTAAACCTCCTTTAACAGCCATTTCCATATAAAAATTACTTGTCTAAAATTTCCTGTGTAATGTAATATATAAAGACCACTAAACCTTGTTTTGGTTCTGATATAGCAAAATTCACAGTAATAAAAACTTTACATAAAGGCAACTTGGCTCCCTTGGTGGCCTTTATTGGTAAGTTTGCTTTTAATTTTTAGAATTTCTTGATTTTAGAAACAGTGTACAAGGGGAGGTAACACTTACAAGGTCGATAACTGTGTCAGGTTGGAGAAGATGCTTTCAGGTAGTGTTACAATTTTATTGTTGCTCAAATCCCTGCATGAAATAAATGAATAAATGACAACATGGTAATACATCAATATAACCCTTTAAATCTTTCACCAAAGGATTTTATTCCTAAATAAAAAAAAACTTTATGCCAACTGAAAACAAATAAATTCTAATTAAAAAGTATTTTAAATCTCTTTATTACAAATGACAAATGACAATACAAATTTTAAAAAATGGGTTGAAAAATTTTTACTTGATAAGCAGAACCTATTTCCATAATTTTTCAATATGATGATTACACTTACAGACGCTGGAGTTGGCTGAGTTGACTTATGTCCATGTTCAGATGTGTGATGTTATTCACATCAAGGTACCTGTAGCAAGAAGACAAACAGAGTTACATCCCTTTGTAAAGTGTGACATTTACATTTCATTTTTGAAAATGGAAGAAATAAAATGATTATGCATCGTTTACAAGAGATGTTACTACGGGAGAAAATACTGTTTCGGATGCACGATAACCCACAGGGGAAAACAAGAAAACCCACACGGGAAATCAATATAATCATATATCAGATGTTTTATAGGGAACCCAATCGAAAACATCCACGTCACCTGATTGTCTCTTCTAGCCCAGAATCTCATATTGAATGCACTGACTATGAGAGATACATAGATAGCATATTAACAAAATATTGAACTACCCCAGTTTTTCCAGCATAAAGACAAAAGACTTACAATTCAGTAGTGTCGAGGGGAATGTGTGGTGGGATCTCCGTCAACATCTGCCTACTACATCGAACAACAGTTCCTGTACAGGTACACATTGGCGGGCAATAGGCTCGGGGGTCACAACTACTATCTACAGGAGCTAGGGAAGATATTCAAGATCAGTTTACATAAACTACAGAAATCTTTTCCCTTTTGCTCTATTTCTGATGAAAAAAAGCAATTAAAGTTTTTCAAAAGCCAATCAATTGAAAACAAATTCATATTCATAAATATTAACAAATTGCATAACAATATCTAAAAATTCCTTTGAATAAACAGGATTCATCTTAGAATATTTTGAGAAAAATCAACCAAGGGCGATAACTCTACTTTATTCAATCAAAATTAAATTCAAAATCAGTCCAGTATTTCTGAAAAAAACCTACCAACTTCTTCATCGGAACAGCAGGGAGATACTCCCATGTTACAGCCAAGTTCATTGTTAGCTGGGAAATAAATGTAAATGAACATTAGTATGTATGCTTTTATGTATGCTATCATTAAAAATATACTTTACAATTAGATTACAATCATTTAATAAAAAGAATTCCCCTTATTGTCAAAAAAAAAGTGCAATGATCCACCTTTATGAAATTTATTGGGATTAGAGAACTCTACTTTACAAAATTTATCATGATCTGAATAACTCATCTTCAAAAAATTAACTGCTATCTGAAGACCTCAACTTTCGAAACTTATATATAGTGTTTCTATTTGGAAATAATCTTTACTTAAAACATACAAAATTATTGCAAAGGTATGAAAGGAAACTATTGTCTTTTTTAATATGTGCACTGTAATAAACAATTAATTCAATACTTAACTGTACTAATTGTATTAGTAAAAGTTTATACCAATCAAAAGAGCTCACCTTCACACACAAAGTCTGCTGTACGGATGTCATGAATCGCGGAATCCTTCAAATTGTGAGGGGAGAAACACGTGGGACTTCCTGTAATGATGTTGACATGTCTCAACCAGTCAGAAAACCAGCCAAGGTGACAGTTACAAGTGAATGGATTCGCCTCCAGATTTCTGCAAACAAAATGCAATTTTTTTAAATGATACATATGTATTTTATACAAACTCTTAAACATCATTTGTCAATTCAATACAAAAACTAAAGTGCATACAAGATATATTGCAACTCTATTCATGTTAAGAAAGAAAGATCACAATAAGATGAGAAGTGATGTTTACAAAAGGACTATAATATAAACTGCTTCCCATCTTTATCAAGCAACTAAACATCCTATATCTAGTGCAGTTCTGGACTAAATGCTTACAAATTATTTCATCATCCTGTATCAAATTCCCTTAGCATCAGAGATTAAAGAGTCCCCCATCCCTCTATTCTGACTTATCATTACAAATACAGAAATAGTAGCAGAATTAAGTTTACTCACAGAGTGATGAGGTAACGAAGGTTGTCAAAGCTTCCAGCCATTATGCACCTGATCTGATTGTTGAACAGTGACCTATAAATCAAAAGAAAATAAAGCAATTAGATTAACATCAAAAACAAATTTTCTCTTAAAAATCATTAATATGTAAAAACAAGAACAGTGAGCAAATGGATAAAAAAAACACCCATCCCATCATCCACAACAAGAAATTACCTTAACAGAAGGGGCATAACTCCAGAAAAGAATCTCTATTTTAAATATAGAAATGGTTCAAATTTTGGTAACGTTACCAATCCTTTGAAGCAAAATTGATAAATTTTTTACACAAGTCATGACGCAACCTATAATTGTTTCTTTCAATATATTGTAGAGAAGTATGTTTTTCACTACTCTCTTCCATATTCCAAAAGCGAAAAATAAAACCCCTTAAAAGATAACAATTTTTACAGTAATCAATGTTTATAAAGTTACAACAAATGACTGGAAAACAAGCAGCATCAATCCATTTACATTTTCTATGAAAAGAAAATCATAACAGGGGCATAACTGATATGAAAAATTAACATACAAATCTATGTTAAGTAAAGACCATTTCCACCAAGTTTCATAAAAATATGATGTGAGCACAAACATCATACCGGTAACTCTAGATAAAGTCAACAGACAGCCTGATTTCAATCTATACTTCCAAAATTTGTTTCACAGAGTATAAAAACTAAACTATTTCATTCAAATTTTGCAGTTATGACCTCTGATGCTTTTTTATCATAGGTTAGGTTATTGTGTACTTTTAAAGTAAGTTAAAATACTCATAGTAAGTCTTGTTATGCATGACACTTTTATGTGAAAAAAAAATCTATTTACAGGAAATAGAATTTAATCAGATTTCATATCTTGAACAAATACAATCATGCATAACCTAAAATATCCATAGATAACCAAACTCTAGCCATGAATTCACCTAGTGCAAAACAGTTAACATCCAAAACTGAGAAGATAAAAAACAGAACATTGATAAAAACACTGATCGACAGATAAAGCAGACAATGATGAAATGGCATTTGTGTTGGAGAACAGGGAGAGGTTTGTACTTTGCTTCTATAGAAAATCCATTATGTATGTGAGGGAATTAGATGTATGCAACTAATCTCTTCTTCATGTTTTGGGGTTACAACAGAGAAAATAATGGCTATGATAAGGATTTTGATAATGGTGGCCAGGTCGGTGTAGGGGTAGGTTTGACAAGGAAATGTTAAGCGCACCTGATGTTTTGTTTGCTCCATTTGAAACATATAGAGAGATAGTGCATGTATAACTTAAGCCAGGCAAGGCCACAACAGCTCCTTCTCCTCCCCTAACCAAAGGCCACTATCCCTACCCTTGGAAAAAATGTTTACAATGGACAAACAGACAGACAATGCCAAACCATAATAAGTTGCATCCAAATTTTCAGGGGGCATATAAAAACTACTAGTATCATCTTCCTGAAGAACACATTACTAATACCTAGCATGGTTAAAGTAAAAATATTGAAACTAATATTTCATGTCACTGCTGAATAAAGTTTATTGGTTCATAAGTCTAGAAAAATAAATTTTGTAAAACTCACACTTTACGTAGATTAGGACATGAAGTTAGCGTTGTGTTACTTAAACATGTGATTCTGTTCCTGTCCAAAGATCTGAAATGAACGAGTTAATAAATAAATCAATTAATTAATTAATCAATACAGTGGAGTCTGTCCAAACAGATCCTCTTTTCATACTAGAAATTTGACACACAGTACAAATGCTAGGCTTACAACACTCGGGCAAACTGGGAAATTTGTTCATGACAGCATATTTTCAAATTCATTCTAACCAACAGACAAAACAAAAATCATGATATACTTCTCAGGGAATATTTGCAATACATTCATCATTTCTTATTCATAAAAAAGTACTGGGGTGCTAATTAAATTAGGTCATACCATTACTTAATAAATTTCTTCGTAAATGAAACTTTAATAATCCACAAACATTTTTAATATGAACACATATTTATTAGTATTGACTCCATTTTACTAAATTTAAGATTATTTTCGGCAAATGAAGTATGTACATTTATGTAGTAACTTACAAGGTCTGTATTGCCGACAGTCCAGCTAGATTTTTACTCGTAATCCTGTTGATTCGGTTGTTGGAGAGGTTCCTAAGCAAAAATACATGAAAAAAGGGTTGTTTTCATGTGTAAAATTCACCACACAAATCTTTGAGAATTAAAATTCCCCACCACTTTTTCCCCAAATCAAATCTTTTGGAAGAACTACTATTGAATGATATCAACACAGAAAAACATATACTGTTATAGCATTGATTTTTGTGGGGATTTGTTTTCATGGAATTCATAAGTACTCTCTATCCATTGTTCATATATCCACAAACTGTTAAATTGGTATACTAAATAGATTAATTGAATTTTATTTATTGACAAAATCAAGTGTCCAAGAAATAGTATTTTTTGATAAACCATGAAAACTGAGCCTCACAAAAAAACATAATTTTACATTTTTTGTCAAATCTAGACTTTCCATGGAACAATATTGAACTTTAGATAATTAATATCAATATCATAAGAGATGGGATATTCAGTGACTATATGTATCCTGTAGTAGGTTATACGAGCTAACTATCATTTCTGATTCAGAGTGTGGATGTGGGCTTAATACAAAACCATTACTAAGTCTCTGATGTCAATTCTACCGAACAGTAATATTTAGGGGTGGGCTTAATACAGGCATTGGCTTATTGCTGTTAAATATGGTATCCAGAATTAAACCTACAGAATGTGTTAACTATAATTTACAAAAAAATGATCCATGAAAGCCATAATTATCTGTTTAATATTCAAATATATTACTTACAGATCCACAAGCTTTGAAGCTCCCTCAAAAGTGTTGTAGGCTATATCCTCTATCAGGTTGTTGCTTAGGTCACTGAAATTAAAGTGAAGATACATAAATAAATGTGAAATTATTTCAATAAGACAGCCTAAATCTCTGACTGTTTATACATATTAATACACCTTCCAGGCTTACTACATTACTACAAGACAAGATTCCATTTTCTTTTGGGGGACTCCACTAGGGATCCAACCAAGAACCACCAACAGATTATCTCAATTTTAGGTTGAGGTGTCTTGCCAAATAACATAACAATGTTAGCACAGACTAGAAAGTTTTTTCTATTACAAACCACTACAGGTGGGGAATGTCAAACCATACACCTCAGATCTTCACCTGAGGTCACATAAGCCAACACTCTAAAGACTGAGCTACTGTGGCCCCGTAAAAGTTATTGTATAACCAGGGTCGATGTACTTACAGTGTCTGTAGGTTACTAAGATGGACAAACAGTCCGTTGGCCTCCAGTCTTGTAATTCTGTTACCTTGAAGTAATCTAAGGGGAACACAAAACATCAGCATTACTGATAAACAGGTTCTTAAAAAATCTCAACCCATTCACACCTCCAGTAGGTGTTGATAATGCTTTCAGTTTGCATGGAAAACTACAACTGTAAAATTTGTTCCAAACATGACTTGTTTATAAGGTTCCAGAAAAATTAACATAAGAAACAAAGATTGAATTCTGTGTTATGTGACAAAATATTTGTTAAATCTGAGAATAATTATTATCAAATTAGACTGAAACAATCATGTTTCATTTCCTGTTCTACAAGTATATTGAATTTTTTTTAAATACTGCAAAAATGCCATTGATACTTGAAACAATCTGGATGTCAGCAGAAGTTTGATTAACAAAAAACACAACTAATGTTGAAATTCAGTTTATGCATGTTTAACAATTTAAAGTGTGATGATAAATATAATAAGCTGTTCACATATAGGTACATTCAGGAATTCTAGAAAAATGTAAAGAAAAACAATTAACTTACAGTTCTGTAGTGTATGAGGGAATGTTGGATGGCATAGTGGTCAGTTCTCGTCTGGAGCAGTCTACCAATGTTCCCATACACACACACCCTTCAGGACATTCCACATCCACCATACATGTCCCTGCGTTTTTGGTTCGGTGGATTTCGGAGTCTTTTAAAAAAAAAAAAAGAGACAAAATTCATGTAACCATAACCATTTAAACCACAAAATTTTATTACTCTAATATCTGTTATTACACCACATGAAAAATGAATTTATCATTATTTCAACAGAAATGGAGTATCAATTTTTGAACTGTGCTTATACCTTTACACCTAAACTTGGATGGTCGTGTTCGAGCAATCTTCTTGCGTTCCATGCGTCGTGGACTTTCACATCGGACACTGCTTGTTTCCACAGGTCGTCTTTGTAGATACTCAGCCAACCATGCCAGGTTACAATCACAGATAAATGGATTCCGTCCAAGATGGCTGAGGCACAGAAAGATTGCAGGTAGAAATAAATAAAAGTAATTCAAATAAAGAAAAACATTTCTATTAGCATTCTCAATTTTTTTCTTTCTTCTTTCTTCTGCTTTTTTTAATACTTTGACAAAAACTGTAAGACATCTGCTTTATTGTACAACCATGTGCACAATTGTATCTAAAAAATGAAATGGTCAGGTCAATTCTTACAGACCACATAGTTTTGTTACATATACCAACGTAACATAGTGAACCGGAATTATTTGTTACTTACAGGGTCTGAATGTTACGCAGTGAGTCAAAGGTTCCATTGGCTAGAGACATGATCTTATTGTCATAGAGGGACAAAAGATTCAGACTGTATAGATCCCGGAAAATGTCTGCATGTAGACACTTGATTTTGTTGGCGTTCAGAAGTCTGAAAACAACGATGAAATTTTTCACATCAAAATGATTAAGATATATTCAAAATCAGCATTTTAAACTGTCATGATCAATTGAAAACATTAGTGTTGTTGGTATTGAGTCAAAATCACAAGAATTATCCAAGATATCTTTTATTCTGGTCATAATGTGATAATTTTTAAGGTAAAAAAAAAACAAGAATTATCTCCCTTGAACTGATAAAAATCTGTCAGAATCTAATTATGCCAACAGTTTTGTTACAAACCTTTCAAAATACCCATAAATTTCACAGAAAAACTATGCCAGGTGTTGGAAGTACCATAACTTCAACAAATGACCAAATGCATTTGCCACATGTGGCCACACACTTTTTGGGGTCTTATCAGTGACCTCCTGTAGCCAGACCAGGGTCAAAGAAAACATTAATCATAATATCCTGACTGACCACAACCTGACCAGTGGAACCCTATATGGAACCCTAACCAATGACCCCTTGATAGAAAACATGTGTTTTAGAAGTAGGAGAGGAATAAAACTGCTGTCATTCTTTGTAAAGCATGGCATATGTCTCTGATATGTTAATTTATATTTTTGTGATGGACAGAGGATTGGGAAGATGGGAAATGAAGTGGGGGAGGGGGTGGTTAGGAGGGGGACACACTATCAACATATCCCCATGGTGAGATGAAGTAGTACAGTTAAGACATCTCTATTAATCAGGCTACTAAGTACTGGCCACACTTAAAACCCCCCCAGGGGAGGGGGCATTATCTCCCAGGGGGTGGGGGATTTTATCTTCAACCTCCTGGGGAGTTGCATCAGGTCTATGGACTCCTATATACTAACATCCAACTGATAAGACAACACTGTCCATTAGTATAGAAAGAACTATCACAGATGCATCCTCTGATTCCTGTTAACACAGCTGTAAAGTACAGAGCAAGCTTGGCCACCATATATCACTATATCATTAATGCTATGACATTTTGTAAATAGCTTCAGGATGTGATTTAAGCCTTATAGTATATATTCTCGTATATCTATGTCCAACTGAATCATATTATCAAATGTTTGCTCTATGATAAACACACTCCTGATGTTTTCACATTTATCATAAATCTTACATCTTAATTGAAATGATATACACCACTACAGCAGTGCAAACTAATAAATTAAACTAAGAAATTTTGGCATCAAATTGTGTTACTGTAATCGGTCAAACACCTGGAGAAAACTCTCGACCTACAGTAGACACATCTGTTTACAGTGATATGACAGTATGATATTCTCAGGTCAAAGCATACAATCATAAATCTAACCAATTTTGATATTTCAGCAAAATAAACAAAAAATTTCATATAAATGGCATTTTTGTCTGCAAGACACCACAGTAGTCCAAACATTACTTCTACAACTAGGTATAGGCTTATTACAGGACAATAACTGAAGTATTGTTTGTAATTTTACAGAACAGTGATATATATCAGGTCTCCAGGACTATTACACGACATTTACTTCAGCATTGCTTGTAATTTTACAGCGTATTTGCTGGATAAGCCCATGCATGTGAAATAATAGAAATGATACGTCGTCAAGCAATATGCTGCCCTTTTTATTGGAGTTATGATCTGTGTAGTGTCTTATGGAGTTTATTGCAGAAGAATTATCCCGGTAGATCAGTATATTGTGTACAGCTTCATAATCAGGTGTCAAGGCATAACAAAGTGATGAAACTTTTGTTAATACCAACAGTTAATGGAGTTATTTGGTAAAAACCATAAAAAAATAAAATTTGCATGTTCAAGATACAAATTGTTGTAAATATTATAATTCAAATGTCAACGGACACAATTTCATGACATGTAAAATGTATGATTGTGAATGACATATTTCAGTGTATGCAGACAAGGTAAAACCTGAGAACCATTAGATTTTAGAGTAGATCTGACCTCTAATACTCATCTATTTATACTTACAGAAGTTGTAGAGAGCTGAGGTCTCTGAATACACCCAAGGGTAGCTCTGTTATCTTGTTGGCATACAGTACCCTGTAAATACAAATAAACAGCATGTAACTTTATCGATACTGCATTTCTATTACCACTACAGAAGAGCATTTACAGCCGAAGATGTGAAGATGATGGTGCTTCTGAAAGAAAGTAGACCCCTCAAGACATAAAATTCTTGGGACAACTTGGCATACTTTCACACTACTGACTATCTAATAATTATCTTTTTTAAAGAATTCCTCAAATACAATTATGATATAAAGATGCCCTTATCAAATGTATACAAACTGTTTGTAAATTTTTTTTTTTTTTTCAAAATTGCATAGTTTTGATACATTTTTCTGCCATACAAATATATATAGAACACTGGTTCCAGTATCAACACCACATATTATTTCAAAAGTGATAATGACTGGGGGATTTCTAAGATTGGCGATATTTTAATTACTTACATTATCTACAGGATAACTACATAAAATACAACTTAATTAAAAAGGTGAAAGTTTTATCTCTCCTTATCAGACAAACCCTCATTTATCATGGCCACACCTCAACCATTAATGGATGTCACACAGAATTTTAATTTAATTAACTCAATAAATCAGAGTAAAAAATGGCAAATATTCTAAACAACAAAAGCTTCTTCAAAAAAAAAAGGTAACCTTTCTGTATATAGAACAATTTGAAAACTATTTTGAATCTTTAAAATGATTTTTGTTTTTACAGTGAAAATTATCTCCTATGATGTTAATATCAAATATTCAGAGTTGAATATCATCATGAAAGGCTTAAATATTCTGTATTTCACAATAAAAAAAAAAAAAGCTCTGTTGATGATAAGAACTCCACTAAAATATTAAACATTTCAAAAAATAAATATAAAAATACAAAATCACGGCTTTAATCCAAATATAATTTACAAAGTAAAGAAATTCCACTCATAAAAAGAGATAACATGAATTTAACATTAAAATTACAAACTTGAAGAGAAAAGTTGTGATTGTAAGTCCTTTACAACACAAGTTTAAAGGAGGTTAACAAGGCAGTATTCTCCGCTGGTAGCAAGGTAAGGAACACAGTTGATGCTATAGATTTTTGGGATATAAAAGCTTTGGCTGACACTAAAGGTGGCCTCTAAAATTAGAGATCTCACCCGAACCATCTAGATAAGATGTGGAACATGCTCGAATCCAGCAGATATGGTCTCTAATTATACCGCCCCAATTACACAAAACAGCTGGATCTAACAAAAATGCAGTCAACTTGCACCACAAATTTTTTTGGGGGTGTTTCTATCTAAAAGTTGAAGTATAAACATGTCTGTATGATGCTTAACACAACACAGACGAAACTGGAATGGCAGAGTTTGTCTGAAAAACCACCTGTTTAATAACCTCTGTGGAATTTCGTCCTCCGACTTTAGAATCAACACTTCTATTAGGAATCAACATTAAGGAAACTAAGAAGTTATTAAGAAGGCACCTTCTATATAACAATCTTTAAACTTCACTCAAGTCAGATTTCCTAAATGACCTCACTGTAAGCAAAGCAAAAAAGCATTTAAAAGTTAAAAAAAATTCCCTGTATAAAATTCTCAGCTACAAAGATCATGAAATTCTCAAAGTTCAAAAAGAATATTTCGTTTTATCTTTTGAAGCACAAATAAGAAGAAAAAAATAAAAGAAATGAATATCCAAATACACCTGTCAGGAATTTTATTCTTTTCTATATGAACATGGTGGTACCACATACATATCCAAAGTAGCAGGTATTGAAGGTTTGAAGTAGTGTTTTGTTTAAGCTAAGTATCATATGTTAAAACACTGGGCATCCACCTTTTAATACATTTTATCTAATAAGCAAACCAGTTCCTTAAAGTGTACCCAAACTTACTCTAGGAAATAGAATGGATATGCTTTTCAAAGTCAATAAAAAATTTATATATTTCACTTTAGCTACCAACATAATATTCATCCACTTACTTTTTTACCTTCCCTTTGTCAACCGCTCAATAATTTGACTGAAATTCATTATTTCTATTACAAATCCAATTCATATTTTCTGCTACCAAAGTTTCATTTATTTCCTACTATATTTAACATGGAAAATTTCCCCTTTATAAAGCATGTATCTTGTATTTTTGTATGCACATGGTATGCATATTACAATAAATACGGTAAGTAAAAACAAGCGGCATTCATAGACGAGTCATGATGACATGGCAGATATACTCATCATTCCAAACACCAACATGACTCCTGAATTTACATAGAATTTTGATCCTGGTGAAAAACAATACAGTTGATATCATCTCATATACATTTATATAAGAAACTCTTCACTTTCAAATCTGAGTTGTATAAATGATACTTGTCTCTCAACATAAATCAAACATTAGAATCTCCATTTTTTCATTGCTAGAAGGTCTTTTACACTGTGAACTTGTATAACATATTTAGTCAGTGTTTAATGTTACATAGACACGTGAATGGGAGTGTATCAAATTTGTTTGATTGAAGTTATATGACAGACATGTTAGGAATCTGTCTATGTACCCTATTTTTTCTGGTATAAGTCCATCCATATCTATTCCTGTTTAATAGAGATACCCATAATGTTTTTTCAGCATCCTGTAATAAGCCCCTTACCCCCACTCTCACTATTGTATGCTGTTTAGTAGAATTACTCATAGCGTTTTTCAATTGTTTTGTAATAATCCCACTCATATCTATATCTGTTCATTAGAATTACTCATAATGCATTTCCTTATCCTGTGATAATCCTTGCCATATCATTTGATGTTCATAAGAATTTCCCACTTTATTGTCCTGTACTAAGAACACCCATATCTAGTCCTATTTAGAATTACCCATAATACTTTTTTCATTGTCTTGTAATATGCCCACCCATATCTCTTCCTGTTCAGTAGAATTGTCCATAAAGCTTTTCCATTTTCCTGCTTATAAGATCACTGATATATATTGCTGTTAAGCTAAAATACCAATAACTGTTAGGGCCAAAATTACCAGTGTTGATTGTATGATCTAATATACCCAGATATTACAAAGATTTTGCTTGACTGATTTCAGGGTAATAGGAACATTCTGACCGGACGACGTAATGTATCAGATAGTCACAGTCAATAGCTAGTTTATAATTTGGCCATAAAGTGTTTGACATAACTGAATCTCTGATTGGACAATTCAATATGTCATTCTATTACAACCAATCCAACAATATCTTAAGATTGAGAAAATTATAAATTTAATGAGATTTGTTTGATCTACCAATCACAAGACACGGGAATAGCCTTTTTTGCTTGACCTTGAATATATGACCTTTCTAAGCATGCGTTTCAACTGTGAATATGAATGAACAGTCCATGTAAACACATCTGATGATATCAGATTTGCTTACAGTCAGCTTACACCACTGTGTATCTGATAATGTTTTATAGATCTCATCAGGTGTTGTAGTCACACAAAGCTATTTGCTGACGGAATTCTAATAGATGGTGCTTTTATCTTGCCAATAATCCACTTCTACCATTGTTTTGTTATGAACTACTCCACACGTGTATTGGACTCTGATATAATACTGCTATCACAAACAGAATGTGACTAGATATTATATTAACATTAAATAGTATTTATTATAATCTCAAAACAGCAAGACTGATATCTTAAGTAATGTTGCTATAGTGAAATATGACTCCTTATGTATGACTGCACGAGGAAACAAAACGGTAAACGTTTTCCAGATTGCACTCAAGATTTGGCCGGGTAAGAATTTAAATTGATATTGTGCTAAAAATCTCTCTATAAAAACGCTTGAAAATATCATGAAAGATTGTGTAATCAACAGAATGATGGATATTGAAATTCAGCCAAAGGGTAATGACATAGAATTTGAATCTAAAAGAGAAGTAATATCGATACTGTGATATTTACAGTGATCTTACACAAACTACAGGATCACGTCAGAAACCAGGTATCTACCATCTCCATCCAGCTGTCCGCTATTACATTGCAACCATAAGACGTATTGTCATTTAAAAACAAGCAACTTTAAATTTAAATGTATATCAAATGAAAAAAAAATTCAAATTAACAAATTTCTTATCTGTAAATCTAAGCATTTTGTGTATAGAAATGTATATTCATTTTAAAGATGTTTTGAAAACAACCATCTCAAACAGGGATTTAAGAAACTAATAAAAAACAAAAACAAAAAACAATTTTTTTCAAAGCTGACTGTGCAAAAAGAAACTGAGCTTGAAGCTTTATGATTACTGAGCTCAAAAGTTTAACAAGTGTGAAAATATTCCATAGATCTGATTGGCTGGCTGGAACCCCTGGCGAGGCACAGTTGGCCCCCTCTCCAGATACTTACAACGAATTAAGAGATGAAAGCCCAGCAAACGCATCAGGTGCAATGTGGGATATCTTGTTGTTGCTTATATCACTGAAAAAAACAAATTTGAAACAATATTACTAAAGGAAGTTAATGAAATCTGGGATAATATTTAGGCGTGGGGGTTTCATGAAAAAGTTCAAGTAGGCCAAAAAAAGTGTTCGTTGTTTTCTGGTGCCACAACCTGGATATCTCAAGGATGTTACCATGTACAAAGTCAAACTTCTTCAAACAAATGCAATAACCAGTTTGTTACAAAAGCTCTTCTATATTAAAATCTGCTTGTATGCTATTGAAAAAAAACTCTATCTATCATTATAGTGTGAAGCTCTATACAATAAAACATACATTTATAAGAACCCTGAAGAAGTCATGAATGAGCTCTCTACCATAAAAGATGTTTAAAATTTTTTTTCATTTCATGAATATTTTTAATATCGTTTTTCTCAGGTACTTAAAAAATAAAAGACTTTATTCACCACTGGTTCCCTGAAACCTAGTAAGTGATCTTATTACATGTACAATTTGATGTGTGTATATTTAAAAGCTTCATAATTTTTATTTTTTTAGTGGGAGGAGGGGGGGATATTTTGAATTTTCAAAAGAAATGATTCACAACACAATCAACAAATACTCCTAAAAACCTATTGTTTAAACACAAACTTTGTTACAAGAAAGAAGAACCAAAGAACTATACCTTTGTAATCCAAAATATCTACGTTTAAAAGAGAAGCTAAAAACTAAAACGGTCTGGCCTGAGCCCCACCATTAAGAGGTTACTACTGAAGTGTTAAGAATCTTACATCTTGAAGCCCACTTCATAGCAGTAATGAAATATGTGTAACAGGGTCCATGTGATCTGACAAACGACCTCTGATTGATATTTAATGAAGCAAACACATTAATAACTCAGTAATATGTTTTCACTTTATACAAAACACTGGCACATCAGTTATATGGGAATTCTGACTTAAATAGTGATAAAAAAAATCTAGAAATAATTTTTTGTAAGATTAGTTTAACATCAGAGATGTCTAAATTAAAATTTAACAGGATAAGTCAGTTCATATACACTATAATACTTGGTAAATTAACACAAATAAATATTTTCAATTGTGTTTTAGCAAATTAGGATATTTAAATCTGTGAAACTTAAAATGATTTCAAAAGATAAATGTCATTATTCTTGTGAAGATTTATCAAAAATCAATAAAAAAGAAGTCTAAAGAATATTTCTCAAACAATACATAAGATTTTCTAAAATTAGTAACAATGACCTTGACCTTAACCCAGCAATCCTGAAACTCACACTTGCCTCAGATAATTTGATGCTATAGAAATGTGTTAAATTTTATGAGAATCCCTGAAGGAATGAAGCCACTATAGCACTGACAATGATTTTACAAAAATAATAGCAGTGACAATGACCTTGACCTTACAATCCTGAAACTTGAACTTGTCCATGCTATTTTGATGCTTAATAAGTGTGTATCCCTCAAGCAATAAAACTGCTAGAGTGCTGACAAACTTTCACAGGAGAGACTGAGAGGAAAATTACTATCAGTAAAATTACCTAAACATGACTATTTTCTTTTTCTTTTTTCATTATCCAAAATTTAAAAATTTTGCTGTTACTTTAGAATAACCGGAAATGTCATGTTAGACTAGAAAATTATGTAATCAACCTTGAGAGGTATAATTTAGATATTTTCATTTCTCTCAGAATTTACGATATGACCTTGGCCATATCAGAGAGGCCTACATATGTACATGTACCAGGTAAATAAAAATTTTGTTTATCTGCTTTCGATGAAAAGTAATGTATCAGGTAACTAGTTTCCTTTGAAGTGACAGCAACACCACACATTATAGAAATGAAGCCAATTTTGTATTCAGAAAATCAGTGTTGATATCATTCCAACATTTTTATACCTGTCAGATTTTTTAACATTGATATTGACTCGCAAATCATAAATGTGTTTCAATTTCATATTTGAGAGATAAATACATTTTGATATGTAATTAACACCCTTCACAGATAACACAGTAATAGTATTAACTTCATGAAATCAAAATCCTGTCCTCATCTTCTTTTTTTTTTAAAGGTGAATACCTGGTAAGTTGTTCCTTTCTGAAAACTTTACCTACTTCACACGAAAAACTATTCTTCTCGAAGAAAAACATAAATAGCTTCCCAAAAGAAAAGAAAGACCAAAACAAAATATGTTAAGACAGGAAAATCCTACCGATGTACATGACAGTCAAATAAAATTTTAACAAAAGAAAAAAAAATGATATAATTTCATTAAAAAGCATCTAACAAAGATATTAAGCAAAATAGTTTTTTGAATTAAAGTATTGAAACGTCTGAATATGTGGAGATGCTGCCTAATTGCCTACCAGAAAGAGGTTATTTACAGAGTCTGCACAGACAGTGAAAGTCAATGACAGCTGGCATAAACATGGCCCAGCATCAGTGTGTACCTGTAGTATATACAGGACTAGAGTGACCCAGGCAGGCTCATCAACACATGAATTAGCCTATGTCACAACCTGCCAGCTATAGGTACACAAATCAATACTGGTGTACCTCCTGATTCCCACCTCACACCATCCCAACACAAATAGATGTCCCACCTTGCACTACCCAAATACAAAATCTCCCAAGTCACACCATCCAAACATCTTCTTTTCACAACATCTCATCTTAGCAAACACCAAAGTTCCCCTTTTCTTTTCATAGTATCTCATCCCAACAACAATATCAAACTTCCCATGTCACCCTGTCACTGTATTCCCTCCAAATCCCAATGCTTTCCCTCCCATTCTCCAATACCTATTCTCTCCCCACATCAGTTTGGTCCCCATATTACTGAATTCCTTCCTCCAAAAGGCCATCACTTCATATCACTTTATCTCTTGTACATTGGGCAATCAGAGATCCCCTTCCCATTTTACTGAAAGTCCCTCTCCTCACAAAGATCCCCTCACCAAATTGAAAATCCCCTCCCCACCTCACCTCTCCCATCTTAAATCTCCAATTACACCAATGACATCCCCTCCTCGACCATTCATGAAACCCAAAAGGATGATACCTTGATAAGTAAAACACTGACTATCTACACAAAGACCTCCTGTAGCACTGTCTGCGTCAATCCTCGTAAGATTTAGGGTTATCCAGTGTAACATATGCAACATTTAAAACCCTACTTTTCCTCCATTGTCTATTGTGAAACTGATCAGAAAGCTGTTGAAATGTAGATTTTAGCAAATTGTCAAATAAATGATTTCTACAATCAGACATACAACAGATATAGAGTGGTTTACATCATTCACTTACATCCTTCGCAGACGTGCAAGATCGGCAAACGCTCTCGATGGTATCCGAGCAATGGAATTTCCTTCCAAACGACTGAAAAATGTTTTGACATTAATATACAAACATTCAAGAAATAGACAATGAATAATTTCAAAGAGTAAATAAAATCAATAAACAAGTCTATTTTAAAACTTTCAAGAGCTTTTAACTTTCTGTGACCTTGACATTTGTTAGCCATGTCTATCCTTACGGTATATTTATTGGCCCAGTAAAAAAGAAAGATCTTTGTGTGAAAAGAATTAACTATGGAGCAATACATTTTTCCTCAAATGACCTTGGCTGTGGATGATGACCTTCACTATTTTGTGTCTGCCTTAAACTTAACAAATAATCATCACATTCAGTGTTTGCCAAAATGACAAAGAGTGATAGCGTTTCCCTAACAATCTGTTAGACAGAAACACAACCCATCTACTTTGACCATTTCTCCCAGGAGTAGCCATTACTGGCAGCAAGATTAGGTGTTTTCTACCACAGAAATTATAGACTTGGTTTTGATGAGCAGTATTTATAGGTATAAAACAGACTGGACAGCTACTAGTGTATGGCCTCCAAACCAGCCATGTTTGGATGTCTGGGAAATGGTACAACAAAGGTTGTTTCTGTATAACAAAAAGGTTAAAAAAAAAACGCCTCAAAAAATCTAGGAATGGTATCATATATAACTTCTGTAAAGAAACAGTATCATTCTACGTGTAAATCTCATTGGTATGAAATATTATGATGAACTTGATTGTATGTGAACATTTTATTGACCATAACTTAATATTCAAAGATTGTTATGAACTTGACCTGATGTTCAAATATATTAATGATCTTGATCCATTATATCATAACACCATGATGACTTTGACTTAATGTTCAAACACTGCAATGACCATGACCAAATGTTAAAACATTGTGATGGCCTTGATTTGTCATTCATTCATTCTTATGACCATGAATTACAGCATAACCATGGTTCAGATCCTAACACTTACATCTCAACCACATCCTCTGGGAAGTTTTTCGGCACTGCTGTAAGTCTGAGATCTCGACAGTCGACAACTCCTTCAGTACAGCGACAACGTGAAGGGCACATAGCTTCCTCCAAGCACTGGTTCACAACTTGGTGCTGTAGGTCTATAAAATATCAGAAGTTTTCAGGATTCTCAACATCAATATCAACAAATTTCCTTTTCCTTCATTTCATTTGCATCTCTTTTGCAGTATCCTACCTTTCAAAAATGTATTATGAAGCCAATTGATACAAGAGACTAATCAGTCATAGAATCAGAAAATTTTTAGCCTCATTATTCATATCTTACATTTTCACTAAAACAAATTTATCTCAGGAGTTCTTAATAACATTTACAAGTTTAAGAAAACATTATTTCACTGACTATAATAGAAGATGAGTTTAATCTTTACTTGTAGCCATTCAAATCAAAGCATTTTATAAAATACGATTCAAACACTTGTAATTATCCTTCAACATAAATCAATCTTCTGACTGCATTTCCTGTCTGTTGGTGAGTACCTCTTAATTAGCCATGTTACTGATACAATTAGAATCAATTTTCCGCCAATTCAAATCAAGTGTTAAAATAGCTCTTCTAAGTTTAAAAGTTAACAACGATTTTCCGCCAAGTCTCTTTAGCAGAAAACGAGTACAAAGAAAAAACATGTCCAGATGCTCCATCAGGTCCTATTTAACTTATTAGAAGAATGAGTAATCTGGTGCACTACTGGGGAAAAAAAAAAAAAAAAACTACACAAACCATTGCATTTGAATTCCATCTCATCCAAATCTTTCAGCTCAATGCTCTGTAGATTTGACGGAGATGAACACTCTGTTCCTCGGCCGAGTCTCCTTGCGTTCCGTAGCCAACGAGCAAGCCACCTCAGATTGCAATCGCAATTGAAATTATTGTTCATCAAACGACTGCAAAACAAAACACAAGGATGTGATTGAAACCTTGCCTTAGGGAGATTAAAATGTTTGGCGATACCCTGCTGTGACGGTGATACATTTCATTAGGCTGCTGTCTAGACTCGTACTGATCCTTACACTGTTCTGTGGGCTTAAATGCCTCCATTACAAGTACAATATGTTTTCTAAAGTTCTTCATTATGTAACAGATAAAGAGCATTGAATTTCAAAATGTCATCAATCATTTTAATATTCAAATTTCTGATCATTTTCTCTCATAGAAAAAGAGGATATGTACACCAAACTTCACTAACACTTCGGTTAGGAATCAATCTGTGTGTATTTAATGCACCATGTCATGTTAAACACAGTCATACTTATCACAACATTGTCTAGAAATGTACAAAATGTAATGAAAATAATGCAACTTTTCCATCAAAGTTCCGGAAATATCAAATCTACCTTGATAAATGTAAAACATTTACTTATCATTGAACTTGATGTCAATATTTAGGAAAAAGTGCATGAATATTACAAAACTGTTTATCAACTAATTCAACCATAATCTCCTTGGATGAAGAAATGCATTAATTTGATTTTTATTTATTGCAAGTAGTTAAGGACTTTCTTTGAGTTGAGTATTCTCCCTGATCGTAAAGAAGAGGTTTTTAACTATAAGCACACATTTCCTTATTCTGGTTTCTTTGAAGCTAAAGCTAATGTCTTTCTGATTACAATTTTCTTAAATCAAAGTGAAAAAAATAATATGTCACTTCCAATACATCTTACAGAGGTCCATTAATCTACTCTGTTTGAAAATCAACTTTGGTTGTCACACGTCATGAATTATGTTAGGAATAAGTGGGTTTTGGAAAGGTTTTCTTTCTGTATATGGTATATAATTTCCAGTTTTAGCTATAGGTCTTATACAAAATGACTGAATGCAATTCGGTGCATTTATACACTAATGCTAAAAATACTACAATGTCGTCTTGTAATAAGTTCAACCATATTTGAAGGGTTCTGTTGAATTACCAACAAATACTGAATTATCGTACTGTAATAAGCCCACATCATGAATTCCAGTCAGAGGCAACATTTTGGCCCCCTGGGCTTATCAGAAGAAAATATGGTACATAATTTTTGCAGGAGCATCCCCTCTATCTTTCCCCCTCCTACCTCTGTGATAGAGGATTAGGTAGAGATAAAGTATGTTCATACAACCCTCCTGTAATACCCTACAGCATTATGTGTGATCCTCAAACATTTCCACATGACGCAACACACAAGTATAATTAATTTACTACCACCCCATCGTTAAAAATATTAGTTTATGTTTTTTATTTTATCAAAATTTATAAACGAGGGGTGGAATTTGGTTGTGTTATCTTTGAACTAAACTTTGTTATACAAGAAGCGTTGACATGGGCGCCACACTCTACTTTCTTACTAAGTCTAATTATATAGCCTATAGGAGCCTAGCTCGAGATAGTTAACGACAAAATCCTGAATATCATTTTAGTGTTCACAGCATCAAGGCTAGTTTCTTTCTATTCTCATTGATGGAGCATTACTTGATGACTTTCAAACATTTCACAGTAAACTAATTTAACAACATGAAGAATTAAAAAAAACAACAACAGTAAAAAAAAACCCTCCCATCCTTCCATGCCTATTCAGCCTTCAAAATAAGAAATAATATAATGAAAAAAAAAAATTGTTTCAAATGCAAAAAAAAAGGAAATGGGTGAATGTTTTGATCTTTTTAATTACAACAGCGTTTGATTATCAGATTCAAAACAGCGATGATACCCATGGTAACGTAATTTTAAAATTTTCATCACAATATGACTTCTTCCTTCTGAACAAAACATGAAAGTTTAATTTAGTACACATCAGTGTATTACACCACATGAGGCATCCATAATCACAAAACAACCCTGCTCCATAATATGCAGATAAAATGCTATTTCAATCACTATATTGTTTTGAATATTCTCCTCAAGGAACGTTTAATTTTCTGTTCTCAATGCAAACTCAAAAAACGTTAATTTCTGATTGAGAAACTATATATTCCTAATGATGTAATAGCTTTGATCCTGTGAAGTGAATTCCTTCTCTCTACAAAGTCTTAATAAAATACATCTCTTAGATACTTTACTTATACACACCCACGAAGACATGCCTCATGGAGTTAAAAGCATAACCCTACCAATCTATATCTCTTTTTAACCTCCCCTTCCCTCTATACCCTCCTCTTTTTCCCTCTCCTTTCCTTTATACTCTCCTATTTTCATCCTATCTTCCTTCTATACCCTCCACTGTTCACCCCTCTGTACCTCTATACCATTTTCGTTTTCCACTCCCATCATTTTTCTCCCCCTGTCCCTCCATACCATCCTATATTTTTTCTTCCTTCCTTCCTCTCTTTTCAACCCTTCCCCCCCCCCCCCACCCACCACCTGTTCCCCTACACTCTCCTCTTTCTTCCACCCTTTCCTCTATTCACCTTCCAGCTCCCCTCCATCCCCTTACCCCCTCTGTCCCTCTATATCCGCCTCTTTCTTCCACCCTCCATTTCCCTACCTTCTACTGACTCTCTATATCCTCCTCTTTTTTATGACCTTTCCTCATCTTCAGCACCCCCTTCCTTACTCCCCTTTCCTCCCCCCCCCCCCAAGTTTATTAATACATACATGTTTTAAATTTCAGTTGAAGTAACTCAAGAAACTAAACGCTACTTTCACAGATAATGGCTGTGGCTTCCACAGATATGATGTAAGACATTGATGGGTGTTTGTCGTCAATGTGTTGCAATAAACTTAAGGTAAATAATGACACAGATGCACTTCATGACATCAAAGAGCAGATAAGTCTACCAAATCATGTATCCTCCTCTAAACATTCTCTTTTATTCCATCACAAATGACAACAGGAAGTTGGTAAAAAAATCTATTTTCCAAATCATATCTTTAAAACTGAGTTTTATCGATTATGTAATGTTATTCAATAACATGAACTCTACATTAAATTTTAAAGTATGCTTGTGTTCTTTATAAATATTGACCTTTATCTAAACAAAATATACCACGGAGATCAAAAGACTACCATCAATGATATAAACCTCCATAACACTTTTTCTACACCTGCTAATGCCTCTGACTGGCCATTTAAGTTCTCCCCAACCCTGCTATCCCGTCAACTCCACACACTTATAGAGAGGACTACATTTGTGTATCTTATGTCTATGTTTCTGTTTTGATTGGAATGGATTGGAAAATGTTTATATACTGACAAGAAACACCTGGCCAAAGACTAGACAATATTTAACCTTCTAACCTGGCTCCAAGCCTCCCTCCAACCTCACTCCCATCCCCCTTCCAAACTTCCAACCTCACTATTATCTTCCTTTAAACCTTCTAATCTCACTCCTCTCCTTTATCCAACCTTCTAACCTCACTCCCAGCCTCCCTTAACCTTCAAACATTACTCTCATCCTCCGTCCAATCTTCCAAACTCACCACTATAACCTATCCAAACTTCCAACCTCACTCCGATCCCCCTTCCAACTTTGCTCCCATGTTCCTTCAAGGCTCCTCTTCAGACTCTTTTCTGAGTTACTTGTATACTGGTGCTAAACTAAACATCCATTTGACCAGGATTGAAAAATTGGAATTTAAAAAACTTAGAAACAATATTTTGATTTCTACCAAATGCAAATAAACAAGGGCGATAACAAAAAATAATTGTCCACCTCAACAACATTGGTTTAGTCTTTATTTAGACATGACATCATCATGATAATGTTGCTTTGCTAAGGAAAAAATCAGATAGTGGTATAAAAATACATGAGGGGCACCCTATTACATTGGTTTGAGTGATTTCCAGTCTTAATAATTGACATTGATATTTGGTGTCAAAAATTCTATACCAAAAGAATGAATTTGTTTGATCTAAGTACTAATAAAGAGTTATAAAATCATTACAGTATCTAAATTAAGAAGATTTGAAAACAGGATATCTTTTTTCACTGCAATAAATTGTAATGGTATTGCCTCCTATAGTAGCAGAATGGTGAATGAACTAACTATGTTACCATGAACATCCGCCAGTAAACTACATCAGATCTGATATGATATGTTTGGAGATATAGTGATTGCAGGGCAACCCAAAGGTACCTGGTGTAACATTTACACACAGTGCCAGGTGAAGCTCAGTTAGAAAAAAAAGCTGAATACTGATCTTATAATGTCATACAAATATTTCATCATAAACTTAAGAAAAATTCTCCAAGAACCTGCTTAGCAGGCTAAAATATGTCAGGAACCAGATGTAGCAGATAGTAAAATAGGCTGCCTGAAAATCTGCCTTCAGGATTTGATATTCTTTTTTGTGGGTTTTGGTTGTACCAAAAATGTTCCGTTTCTTAAATTACTCTATCTATTCTCATTTCAGCACATGTAGGTGATGTGGTGCCAAAAATGACAAGCCCAAGGTTGTCAACAGACTCAAAGTCAGAGATTTGAAAATTAAAAGAAAAAAAAACACATGTTCAGGGTGATCTAGGTATTGTAAATGCAAATCACAAACAGTTTTGTAATGTTTAAATTCTATTCAAATAGAAATGATTTTGTCCAAATTTTATCAAAAAAAGTAACAATTCGGTTTAAATCATGTTAAAAAATTTGTTCAAATTCGATTAAAATAGAAACAATATGTTTTTTATTTTATGTCAGTTAGAACACTCAAATAACCTTGTTTATATTCTATTCCTATGATTAACAGGTAAATTTTGTAGAATTTTGTAATTTGGAGCACTAGCACATGAAGGCAAACAGGGCTTGAATGGAAGCATAAACAACACAGGTGAACGCCAAGATTACATCGCAGGGAACAGATGCAGAGGAAGTCTGCACTGCCCGTATGCAGATATACACACATCACAGAGATATCGCAGCATGACAAGGGGTCCCCTCCTATAAACACGACTGATGATATATTCCATACATCTGTCTAAGATCCTCCAACAACTCTACAGAAATATTCTTTTCTGATGACTGTCCCTAGTGGTCCTATGTACTAACAGAGTTGTGTTCCATGGTGTTACAAGTGGGAATAGTACCTTCTTAAACACCAGATAAACTCAACGAGGTCAAACTTGTCATGCCTCCAATTTTGGGTAGGAACATCCAGTTTATATCTATCAATTTAGCAATCAGGTGTTTTTGTCCCAAAACGGAGGTTTCGAAAATGAAATCTACTGAGAAGACGTTATAATATCACATTTAAGCACAAACATGATTGAACTTAATAGCATAACCAACAATCTGTCATCAACAATGTTCAAACTGGAGATCTCTATTTTTCTTTTTTTGACAGGTATGTAAAATCCATTTCCAACATTTGTACAATCTCCTATTGAAAGTCATTTACAGATTCTCTCCTAAACATCAACTTGACTCTAAAACTTAAGCCTATCCTTCCCTCAAGGTCAGTGATTACAATTTGCCTTCCAAGGTCCAGATGATTCAGAGGAAATAAAAATTCACACTGACAAGCCCTAAAGGTCAAATTGAATAGTATGTAACATTGGGTTGGGGTGCAGATACACTAGATTACTTACAGTGTTCTAAGCTTTCTCATAGTATTGAAGATGTCGTCAGGGAGTGTCGTCAAATTGTTGTTGTTCAAAGTCCTGAAATTTAAAACAAATGATAAACATTGATTATTTTATTTTGTTGTTAGAAGGAGGAGGAGGAGGAGGAGGAGGAGGAGGAGGAGACGGAGACAGAGGAGGAGACAGAAGAGAAAGAGGAGGAGGATACAGATGATGAGGAGGAAAGACAATGCAGTCATCTTTAATGAAGGACAATCAAAAATTGTGGAAATGCCAAATCTGAATTGAGTCAGACAGAACAAGACAATAATGAGACAAAGTATTGACCTAAATGCCAGAAGAAATATATAACTGAGGCCCTTTTGGCACTTAATGATGCTAGCCATGATGAAAATGTCCGTTTCATTTTTCATTTGTGCTGGTTTCAAATGACAAAAGAATAAATGTCGTTTTTGCTTCAGTCATTCTATCCCATTTGGGACTTGTCCATGACAGTATTGTCAGCTTTTAGGCTAAAACACAAAAGAAGTTTTCTATCTTTTAATTAAAATATCAAATAAAGAAAATAAGTAAAATAAAGAAACTTTTATATAACAGGTGTTTTCATTTTGAGGGAAATTTATCCCGTTGAAATTTCTAAACCTGCAAATCTAAAAGAAAATGAAAATAAAATTCTTCATTTTTCTGTATGTATACATCCAAGATGACATAATATGACTATAGATTGACGAGGTCTCGTTGAAGGTGTTATGTCTGCGGTGTTTCGTCAGATTATTCCCGATGGTCCTACTGAGATGTTGACAGAGGCACTAAGTATCAAAACAGGAAACCAGCAGGATACACAATCTGTTTGATCTTAGACATAGACAGAGCATTCTTTAATCACAGAAAACATTATCTCAAAATCAAAATGTATTCTTAATGATAATTTGTTTTTTTCTTAATGTTGTATTGAGAACCAACGCTTTCTTTAGGGCAAATATACACAAATTGTTATTATAATGTGAAAATGTTTTCTTAATGGTGATCTCAGCAAAGCTTACATCAGATATCGTGTAACTGAGTTCTCAGGGGGATATGACATGATATAATCTCGAAAGTCAATGGTAATCAGTAAACCGATGACAAGTGTGATACGAGAATAACATCCTAATGATTATTAAATCTTCTTGATCGAAAAAGATCAACAGTAATATAAAACGTTGTGACCATACTGAAAGTATCATACTTGTCCTGTAATAAGCCCATGGACCAGCACATATTCTCTTAACTTAAAGTCAGGGACTGGGTTATTATAGGACAAAGGGGAAAAAAATTTATTTCAATTCTTCTGACCAGGTAAAGATACTGTTGGCTGATGATGGGCTTATTGCCGAATGAGACATAAATCAACAAAACTGTTAATTTCTTACAATAATAATTTTTTTATTCACTCATGATTATTTCCAAAATGTACTGTAACAGTGTTGAACTGTTAAAACATATCTTGAATTAAGATATTTCATAAAACTTACAAAATCTCCATGTAACGATGTGTTTTGATGGCCTGACCAGATACACATGTCAGCTCATTGTGGTCAAGTTGTCTAAAACAAAAATGAAACAAGGTTTAAAACATTTTCTAATTTCTTCATCTGCAAAATGAAAAAGCAAAACACTTAAACAAAACTTAAGATTTAAAATAAATATCTTTCAATTCTAAGAGCAGTTGCATAGTCATGGAATCCATACTAACTCTCCCTAAATGCTGTAAAATCATGTGTTTTCCAGGGGATTTATTTACACTGATTTCATGGGTAATCACAATCTGTGTGTCTGTGAAATGTTTATTGGTAAGAGATAACAGTCTCATGGCAAAAGTGGAGATCATGAGTAACCACGAAAAACCAAATGACAACAAATTTTACTGAAAACACAAAATTTTATATCAACAAAAATATATAACTTTACAGTATAGTAGATTCTTAGTAAAAATTTATTTAATATTTCAATCAACTTATGCTTTTTGTTGGCCAAGGTAAAAGTATAGCTTGTGGTGGGGTTCATCCAAAGACAATGTGGTCTGGCAGATATTTATATATCTTTATGCCTAACATGGATTGAGGGAAGGTAGTCACTTTCTACACTGTGCCAACAACCGTTCAAATCATATTATAGGCATCGTCCAGGACAAATGAACCACTCAGTCACATATTTAACAATAGTGTTGAGGCATATGTATATAGTATCATCATTTGTCTTCCTTGACTTCTACCTCATATTGTGGTTTGTTTGAGAAATTCTTGTGGTTTTGTTTTCTATCGTTGAGCACAAGTGCAGAATTGAGAATACAATTTTCTATCCAAGCATTGGCTGGAGGGAGTTTAATCTTGTTACAGTGTCTGCCTATATAGTAGAGATTAATAAAATGTTTGGGGTGAGATGAGGGATCACAACCCAAGTTTTGCCAAGTGTGTGCAACTTAATAGTCTTGACCATAGAGTTGAGATAATCCCCTATCTGACTAACAAGAAGGTGAACGATCATTTTTATGTGTTGTTTTCCCAATTCTTTGCATCATTGATGTGACATCATGATTATAAAAGGAGAACCCCCTACCCATGTTAATCTTACAGCGAGACAATTTTAACGTTTTTTATCATTACCAGTATTTCAAACATATTTATCATGATCATGACCTGAAACATTTGCGCCTAGGGGTCCCATAATTCAATGTCAGGGGATGGGCTTATTACATGACAATGAAATGAAATATTTGTTGTTGGTTCTGTTGAAGAGCCAATGATACGGGTGGTTTTATTACCAGACACAAACTTATTGTCAAATATATAAGGTAAACGAGTCTTAATTGGCTTAAGTAAATCAATTGTTTAGCTAGAATCTTGAACAACACCAGTTCAGATGAATCCAGAAAAACATTTTTTCTGCGAGTATGAGACAAACTCTTTTTCAATTCATTAAGTATTTAATATTCAATAAATCACATCAATAAATCTCATACAATCAAGCTACTATTTTCGTTGTGTTGTATTGCAGTATGTGGAGCATCTTTTAAAATGGCTATCCTTAATTCTGTTTTGAGGTATTGTCAGTTATATGTCTGATACAATGGAACATCTTAGATCTGATTGAATCAATTGTTTCAGAACTCACTGAGAACTACCCTTTGTTGTGTTTACCGTAACTTTGAAGTGTAAACAAAAACGTTCCATAATAGAGTCTATACACAGCAGGATCAACATCCGTACTTATATAGGACATGACAGTTACTATCTAGAGGAGAAAGCTTTATCCAGAAGCCGGGTCAAGTAAAAAAAAAAAAACATTCTTAGCATCTTATCATCTGCAGCAATACCCATAATTCCTTGTCATTTTGTTGGAGTTTAACATTGTTATCACTAGTAAAGTTCGTACACCTGCCCGAAGTACAAACGTGAGGAACAATTTTCTGATTTGAAGAGAAGAATTCCGCGATCAAAGATGTCATTCATGGCCTCATATACACCCACCGCAAGTATGCATCATCTAGATATGGCGACCCTGAGATTGCTGTGGTGGGCCATTCACAAAGTAAACCACATATACTCAACCTTTTACTTTTCTATGGGATACAAATCTTGAATTTAATTCCCTTGAGGACCTTGTTACTGTAAAGTTGTGTTTTGAAGGTTCAAGTTTTCACATCTACATAAAAAAAATTTGAAGCAGAAGGGATGCATTTGTTATGAAAGCCATGCAGTGGGGGAACTCTCAAAAATATAATTTTTTACAACAGTTTCTTCTACATTTACACTAGAAAGATAATTTAAGGTTCTAATATTTTAATCACACACTGACATTCCAAATTCTCGATTGTTTTCCTTTAAATTTTCAAAAGCACTACTATCAACACCCCATGCTAACCCCCATGCCCCAAAATGTATAGCCAGCAATTTGTAAGAATTAAGCTTCATGTTGTAATTGTAATTATAAATGGCACACAAATTCAGTTTGCCATCATAAAACTTGAATACAGAAACAAACACTTCACAGTTTGACTTGATGTTGATTAGCTATCATGAAGTAAAGCTCAGCTGAAGCTTCAGGCCTTTGTACAACATGATGGTGAAGTGTTCCCCGTCTCCAGTAACTAGGGGCAGACATACTCTAAACCAATCTACAGCTTTTTGTGTAATTACCCCAAAAAATAGTAAAACTGTCAACCAACTACTACCAGAAGTTCTTTGTTTATCACAAAAAATTCCAAAAAACTTTTCTCTTCTGCATTGCTCAAGGGAGGTAATTAATGAACACACTGGCTAAAAGTTTTTTTGAACATAATAGAACTTTTTCTAATTAAACTAGAACTAAAACTATTGAATACCACTGTTTTATTTTCATTGTACTATTTTTTTCCCAATTCATTAAAAACGTCACATAATCATAGTGACCACAAAGTCTAACCCTCAACCCTCTTTGTTAAGTGAGCTCATGATACATGGAAGATTTGCTAACCATTCTGGAATTTTTTTTGGCAGAAAATTTCTTATTGTCTCAAAAATTATGTATATTTATCAGATGGTTGCAAAATTGGCCATGAAATAGAGAGCATTCATGTTTTTTGGCACATCTTCCACTAATCATTAAAGGCCTTGTCTTTTATACACAAGGAACAACCTCCACCTGAGAAAAAATGCTTCGACCTTAAAAAAACTGCTCTCATTATGATAAGATACCAAACAAAATCTATCAAATTCTCACTTTTTCTGTTTCTAATCCTCCTCAAAAAAATATGCCAACGTGTGTGCATTTTATGGATAATGCACTGTTGGTATGTAGCAAAATGGTTTTAGTTCAACTCCACCACCTTGAACATGACTCGGTAATCAAAATATTGGCACGAGAATCCGGAAACTGTGTAAAAAGGCCATGTAATCCATCTGTAGGATCCGTTTCGGCCATGAACTATTTTACCAACGATAATGCCTTTGGTTATCACAGACCACTTTAGTACTAAACCTTACATAATCTGAGGTCAGCTTCTGTAAAGCATCTCATAACACAACATCATTTCTCAGATACTTCTCAAGTCCATTTGTTGAACTATACACTGCTTAAGCTATGCTAAATGTACTATCCTTCCATAAACATTAACATTTTATTTAATCAATTAAAGTAAACATATGATGAGTAGAGACCCAATATCCTTCTTTTGGTACCCAAGTTTTAGAACTCAAAATTTCCCGCATCAGACTTCATATAACCTTTACCTTAAAGACAGACCTTAGTATTTGAGGTCACATGTATTCCTGACAAGACTTGCCATTCATTTTCATACCAAGCACAGAACCAGATGTTAAACCTTCCAACCCTAAAGACTTATATGGACCTGTCCAAATCTGAGGATAGAGGGTTTATACAAAATATGTCCAGGGATGACAAAAGTAGGAAAGGACAAAACAGGAGAATTATCTGACCAATATATACTTTTCTGCCATCACTTCATTGTGGGAGGTTAAAGGAAAGAATTGTGGTGACTTAAAATTTCTAAACATTAATATTTGACATATCAGGACCAATAAAGTTAGTCTGAGTCAAAATCATTCAGAACTTAAAAAAGACTTTTTTGAAATTTGAGACAACATCCATGAGGTTTGTTAACCTCAATTTAAGTGCAGTACTAAGGACCTCCAGTATTATTACTTATCAAATAGTTTTATTGTTTAAACCTATAATGCACTGGTCACAATTTGTTTTTAAACATTTTCAAAGCAACTTGAGCTCTATCTAACTGTGAAGTACTTTGGTGAACTTTATTGGTGCACTGGAAGTCCTGACAATGCATGTTTGAATCATCAAAAATGCAGTCATGAGGTCGTGTTGTACATTGTAGTCATTTTCTGTATTTATGGGAATTTCCACACCCTTAACATTATAACTCATGCAGTGCTTTTTCTGTAGTATTTTGAGATTTTGAAAATTTCTACAGGGAAACTCAGAATGTTTGCCAAGTCTTTTGAGAAAGGAAGTGGGGATTTTCAGAAACCATAAACTACAATATCATTTTCCAAGTTAGTTAAAAAATTCTCCCAAGTCTGATTTGGGGAAAAACTTTTGAAAAAAAGATTTAGAGAAGGTTTAAAGTTTTGAATATCTTTTTAAAATGAGTATTCTGCATTCTGACAAAATCTTATAGTGTGACTAGCTATAGAAAAAATTATCTTAAACAAAACTTATTTCACCTATGTCAGTGTAGACAACAGTATATTCAAAGCTACATTAAAGATCACATCTGAAATGTTTTCAGTGAAAACGATATAAATGCAAATAAAACCACATACAAATTTCACATCTCTCCCATAATGTTAACTTAATTATTGCCTTCCTGAATTGAGGGTAAGAACAGTTTTCTGTCACAGTTACAGCCATGAATGGAATTAATGTCATCTTGAATGGTGTGTGATCATCCGAATGTGGAAACACCTAACACTTGCCATATGGAACATTTAATAAAAATTCTTCAAGATTTATACAGTTTATTTTTGTCAAAAAACTTTTTTTTCACTTATACTTGGGGAGTGATCTGGCATATATTTTTGTATTTTTTGGTGGAAATTATTGCAATTTTTGGGAGAGATAAATGCTTCTCTGTTTAATTTGTTGAGGAAGTTAGTTTCAAATGTCTTTCAAATTGAAACCAAATCATACTTACAGGTTTTTCAGAACCATTGATCCTGTTAATGTATCTTTGCCAATGAACCGCAATCTGTTATAGCTCAAGTCTCTGAAATGACAAGGGCAGATAATCAGTATTCAAGTTTAAATAGGATCTAACTACTGTAAAAGAAATATTTAAAAAAATGGAGAAACTGTCTTTAAGACATGTCTTTTAATGAATTCAATTACATCTCTTGATGTTATGATGCTATGGGGTAATGACCACATCAGTTTAGACATTCTTAGTAATTGACATTGTTTTGAACAGGATGTGATGGGATGCGATGGACAACAAGGGTTTAACATTATGAACCACAATCCAAAATCACACAGCTATGAACTAAGAGATATAACCAAGAGCATTGAAAAACACTTTGGTCAATACTAGTAATCTAGTCAAGTGCAGTGATATTTTTAATCCCATATATAAATCTAAAAGAGATTTGGGATGCAGCCTTGGGATGAAAATCAGATATGTTTTGATAAGTTTGGCGACGTGAGCACTTTCATAAGTGACTCTTCTTGGCAAGAGAGAAATCAAATTTCATATATTTTTTGTCATTTATATGAAAAATATTCATGAACTTCCTTAAACAGTAATTGTAAATCTCTAATGATTTGAGTCATAATGATAATATATGTCCTTTCCATTATGTGATGTCCTTTTATACAAATGGATACAATATTTGAATGTGACACATATTTCTTACACAGTACAAGTTGTAACATAAAATACAAAACATTTGTGTACCTAAAAACCAAAGTAAGCAGGGACTCAAATAGATATATCCCCAGCCATTCATTGTGTTCTTATCATCTGAATCTATTGCAGGATTAATCTATTCAGAGGTTTATGAGATATCTTGCACACAAATTTTTTATTCCAAAAGTGGTAAAGAGTGACCTTTGACCTAGACTGATGACCACCAAAATCCAATCAAATGCACACCTTGGTAGAGTGATGCTATAATATGAATATGAACTATTTAGTTGATGAGATCATGAGATATCTTGTACACAAGGTTGCCATGGATGCACAGATGCACCCACAGATTTAATGACAAAGTCTAGCCCATGGATCAAAACATTTTTCTAAAATCATGGGCCATTAAAAAAGCATTAAATGATGGGCTGTTAGATGTTACAAGTGGTGGAGAATCTCTGACAAGGATTAACAATATTCAGTAAATGGACACGTGTGAAAATCAACAAAAGATTGTACTGGAAAGCATTTTTTATAGATCACGTTATTAAAATATGGTCCAAAAAAATTGCTATTAATCATATTGATGTCATTCACTGGTTTGATTGTCAATATGTCTCTCTCTAAATTCTGTATAATATTTCTATAAAATTGTGAATTATGATTGCAGTGTTTTTAGATACTCATAAATTTGCGTGATATATATCCTACAGAAGACAAAGTAGTTGTGTATAAGGCCATTCAAAAACATTTTAAATAAAACTAAGATTTGTTTTTATTACAAGCAGTATTTCTAATAAAATAAAAATTTTTTATGTCTGACTGTTTTATACATAAATACATGGAATTTTATTACTGTGGATTCATTTATTTTCGTTGGGTTCAATTTTCGTTGTTTCTACAAATTAGACAGTTTCGTGGACTCATAAATTCGTGGATTTTTGATTCTGTGGGAAAAAAATAAAAACTTTAGAATGTTCTCTTTTTGCTTCCAGTCGAAATTTTTTCTGTTTGTATTAAGGCTATGTTCACAGGAATTAACACTGATGACAAGAATAAAAGAACGTTTTTTTTCCAAGATGGCGTCCTGTGTCTCGCATTAATATCAAACCACAAATCAGTATATATCCAGGCGTGTAATCAATCGGTAATTATCAGAAACAATTGTTTTCAGTGGATAAACATTGTGTGCTGATCAGTCGGTGTACCGCAGTCATATGAAAACACCACGCGTATCGATTGGACCATGTGTGTAAACAGGTGTGTAAACAAGATCTGCAGAAACAATTATGAAGTAAAAACACAACTCACTGACGATAGTATAAAGAAATCACAGTGATGAACATATCATTATGTATCTTATCCATCATGTCGTTAACACAGTGGTTAAAATCCGGGAAATTGAATCTGCGAAAGCCTGACGTTCCTGGGCTACCCGACTCCCGACTAATTACGGGGCTTCTGTCATTACCGGTGGACGTTTCCGGTGTCGGCAAAGATTACTTGGTCAAATTCCAAAATTACTTTAGTAAGTAGTTCATATTTCGTTGTGTTTTTAAATTCGTGGATTTGCTCATCCACGAAAACAACGAAAATTGGACCCCCACGAAAGAAAATGAATCCACAGTAATTATTTTCTCGTCTCAATGTTACTATGGCAACGGAACATTAATTATGCATCTAAATGATATTAATTAACTTGAAAATGATTAATGTTGGTTTTATTTTATCAAACCAGCATCAATACCTACTACCACAAATAACAATGAAGTAGGTCAATATCTAAAGAGGTCAATTTCAGAAAAGCGTCAATACACATGAGGTCAGAGTTCATATTTGAAAGTAGTATATTGCATAACATTTCAGATATAGTATTTGGAAGAGAGAAAACATAAAAAAGGTTATATTAAGAAGAAGGTCAAATAAAATTAGAAGTCATATTTAGAATCTAAACTCCATAATTTGTGGGTGTAAACAGGATTAAAGAGTGAGTGATCTGGTCAAAGTTTGTGCACTGGTGTTCTATGTCTGTATGATCTGCTGAACTAGAATATTTAACAAACACTAACTGTATCTACTAAACTAGACACATATTATCCAAGTTACATATCCTGTCATAACTAAAATGACTTATGACAGTTTGCTAATTACTAAATCAGATTTGATTTACTGATAAAACACTATCAAAGACATATTTTCACATTTTTTGATGACCTTTATGTTTGAGAATGGCAACTCCTCAAATGAAATATCTATTGAATATGACTATAGTTAAAGTTAACAGCACACATGGATGAATGATAGACAGACTTTAGAGAGCAGTACAATGGCAGTAGGTCTTAAATACAAACTAATTCAAAACGTGTTAATTACGGTCTAAGAGCACTTGGACAAGCATAAACTTTATTTCTATGGGTCCTGACTACTTGCCAAGCCTTGTTAACTTTTAAATGACATCAAAGTGACATTGTTTGTTTATCTTAACATATGTATATAACATTTTGATATTCTATTAGCCAATTAAATGTGATTAGATTGACAATATTGTACTACAATTTTGAACCTACACTATTACTTATAACGCTGTTCAAATTTTATGAATACCATGTTGGAATTGTCTGAAACCTCGGAGATTCTGATACAACAAAATGTAAACAATATTTCTAGAAAGATGAAAGGAAGTAAACAACAAAATCTTATATTATCAACAATTGTCTAAAAATCAGCATGCATTCACTATATATATTGTATTTGTTCCCCTAATCTATAAGTCTAAATTGATCTGATACATTGTACTTGATGGATGAGTAGACAACCAGACTGAAACTTATGTTAAAACTATTGTTTAAGGTTGAGACTGCCAGACAGAAGATATTTGATCTCAGAGTTTGTTTGTCCGTATCAATACCTGTACAATAGAAGTGGTAATGAAATAGGACAGAAAAATTGCAAAAAAGATATTTGTTTATGATCAAGAATGATTCAACAGATTATTTATCAAAGGACTTTTTTTATTCTGCAAAATATTGGTTATTGGAATTTGGATTCTAGAATGACATCAACATTCTGGCAGATTATCATATTTAGATACAATAATGTATGATCCACATTCATCACTGATTCCCAATCATTTAATTACAATGCATTTTTTTACTAAAGCAAACAACTTTTACACATTGCAAATGCTTATAAAGGGATAATGAATGACTCAACAATCTGATTCCATTAAACATGCTGGTCATCACAATCTGTTTGTCGTCTAATGAAGAGAACAGTTGAGAGTAGATCAAGCAACATGGATATAAAGCAGTTTTTTTCTGGTGATTATTGGGCAAACAAAGGGTTCCATTCCCAAATGGGTTTATATCATGACATGGCTAAATTCTCAAAATATCTAGTTTACCTAATTTCCTTCAAAGCTTACAATTTTCTTCTCAAAATGGTTCTTTCCCAGATGACAGAAAAAAGCACCAGTAAGGTTGAAGCAGGTGGTTTAGACAGTAAAACTATTACTGTAATTATGGTATCTGTCGGCCTTTGCAGTTGGTTTGTTTTCTCTGCTACAGAATGTTCATCTTTCCACCATCCAATATCATTATATCTATACCATCTATCTTATAAGTCCACATCCCATCATAAGTCCACTTATCTAGAACTGTTCAGTAACATTACCAACAACAGATACTTAATCGTCCTGAAATAAGCACACTCTGAAGCCAGCTTATGTTACATGCCTCCCCCTAACCGCAACCCTCCTCTGCTGAACAGTGTTAATGCAGGATTTACAGATAATCAGTTTTATAAAAATATAAAATTTGAAATTGTTACCAACAACTGGCCAACAAAATGTCTCTTTGCACTTACTGGCATTGCATGTACATATTTAAATATATACAGATATATGTACCCGGTGACTGCATAACCTGGTGGGCTTATTGTCAAACACAGACACAAGGATATAAATATGTGTGTAAGGTCATGCTAAAACTGGTCTACAAAATTTAACAAATAAAAGTTCATACCACCTGGTGTTATGACGCAAGAAATGTTTGTGTGTTAATATTTGTCTTTACAGTCTGCCAAAATATTCTGGTCCTTATGATGAAAATTTCATTCCCTGGACATTGTCCAGGACATGGAATTCTTTCCAAAATAGACATTACATAAACTTCCCTCCAGAAATCACATTTTTACATGAAGCAACCTTTTTGTATCTTCAGACGATGATAAGAGTTTTTCAACCATGACATTGGTCCAAATCAGGCCTCCCACAAATATTTTACGAACAATTTACAAAAAATTCAGATATCTCTTATTTTTTTAAGTCTGTGTTTAGAAGAGGGAGCATATAACTTATCTCCCTT